ACACAGTATATAGATACAGTACGTGTGTGCACACTATCTTGATTGAAAACAGAGTATATAGATACAGTACATGTGTACAAACCATCATGATTACAGACACAGTATATAGATACAGTACGTGTGTGTAGAAATTGTCATGATTACAGGCAAATTATCTAGATAGAGTACCTGTACACAAATCACATTGATCAAAGACACAGTATATAGATAGAGTACATGTGTTAATAACATCTTGATAACAGACACAGTTTATAGATACAGTACATGTGTACACATCACGTTGATCACAGACACAGTTTATAGATACAGTACATGTGTACACAACATCTTGATCAAAGACACAGTTTATAGATGCAGTACATGTGTACACAGCATCCCGATTAAAGACACAGTTTATAGATACAGTGCGTGTGTACACACCATCTACATTACAGACACAGTATATAGGTACAGTCCATGTGTACAAACCATCTTAATTTATGACACAGTTTATAGATACAGTACGTGTGTACACATCACGTTGATCGCAGACACAGTTTATAAATACACTACATGTGTAAACATCACCTTCATCAAAGACACAGGATATAGATACAGTACGTGTGTACACAGCATCCTGATTAAAGACACAGTTTATAGATACAGTGCGTGTGTACACACCATCTAGATTTCAGACACAGTATAAAGGTACAGTCCATGTATACATACCATTTTAATTAAAGAAACAGTTTATAGATACAGTACGTGTGTACACACAATCTTGATAACACAGTTTACTGATTCAAAACATGTGTATACACAATCTTGATCACAGACACAGTATATACATACAGTACATGTGTAAACACCATCTTGATTACAGACACAGTTTATAGATTACAGTACTTTTGTACACACCATATTGATAACACAGTTCAATGATTCAAGACATGTGTATTCACCATCTTGATCACAGACACAGTATATAGATACAGTACATGTGTAAACACCATCTTGATTACTGACACTGTATTTAGATACGGTACCTGTGCACACATCACCTTGATTACAGACACAGTATATAAATACAGTACAGGTGTACACGCCATCTTGCTCACACACACAGTATATAGATACATAACATGTGTACCCACCATCTTGATCACAGACATAATTTATAGATACAGTATATGTGTACACACTATCTTGGTCACAGATACAGTTTATAGATACAGTACATGTGTACACACTATCTTGATCAAATACACAGTTTGACGATACAGTACATGTGTACACATGACCTTGATCACACGCACAGTTTATAGATACAGTACATGTGTACACACCATCTTGATCAAAGACACAGGATATAGATACAGTACATGTCATCACACCACCTTGATCACAGACATAGTATATGAATACAGTACATGCGTACACAATATCTTGCTCACAGACACAGTTTATAGATACAGTTCATGTGTACACATCATCTTGATTACAGATACAGTTTATAAATACCGTGCATGTGTACACACCAAATTGATCACAGACACAGTATATAGGACGTGTTTACACACCATCATGATAACAGACACAGTTTATAGATATAGTATATGTGTACACACCATCTTGATTACAGACACAGTGTATAGATACCCTGAGTGTGTACACACCATCATGATCACAGACAGAGTTTATAGGTACAGTACATGTGTTCACATCAGAATGATCACAGACACATTATATAGATACAGTGCGTGTGTACACACCATCTTGATTAGTGACAAAGTATATAGATACAGTACCTGTGTACATACCATCTAGATTACAGACCCAGTATATAAATGTAGTACCTGTGCACACACCATCATGATTACAAACACAGTATATACATACAGTACGTGTGTACACATCGACATGATTACATGCACAGTTTATAGATACAGTACATGTGTACACATCACTTTGATCACAGACACAGTATATAGATACAGAACATGTGTGCACAAAATCTTGATCACAGACACAGTTTATAGATACAGTACATGTGTACACATCAGAATGATCACAGGAACAGTATATAGATACAGTTCCTGTGTACACAACACGTTTTTTCACAGATACAGTATATAGATACAGTACATGTGTACACACCATCTTGATTACAGAAACAGTATAAATTACGTGTTTACACTCAATCTTGATTACAGACACAGTTTATAGATATGGTATATGTGTACACACCATTTTGATTACAGAAAGGGTATATAGATACAGTGCGTGTGTACACACCATCATGATTAAAGACACAGTATATAGATACAGTACGTGTGCACACACCGTCATTATTGCAGACACAGTTTATAGATACAGTACATGTGTACACATCACCTTAAACACAGACACAGTATATAGATACAGTACATGTGTACACACCATCTTGATCACAGACACAGTATATAGATACAGTACATGTGTACACACCATCTTGATCAAAGACACAGTATATAGATACAGTACCTGTGTACATACGATCTTGATTACAGACAAAGTTTATAGATTCAAAACATGTGTACACACCATCTTGATCACAGACACAGTTTATAGATACAGTACATGTGTACACACCATCTCTTTCACAGACACAGTTTATAGATACAGTACATGTGTACACAACGCTTTGATTACAGACACAGTATATAGATAGAGTACATGTGTACACACAATGTTGATCAGAGACACAGTATATAGGATAAAGTACGTGTGTACACATCACAATGATCACAGACACAGTATGTAGATACAGTACGTGTGTACATACCATCTTGATTACAGACACAGTATATAGATACAGTACATGTGTACACACCATCTTGATTAGAGACAGAGTATATAGATACAGTGCGTGTGTATACACTGTCTTGATCACAGACACAGTTTATAGATACAGTACATTTGTACACACCATCTTGATTACAGACACATTTTATAGATACAGTATATGTGAACACACCACCTTTTTCACACACAGTATATAGATACAGTACATATGTACACACCATCTTGATTACAAACACAGTTTATAGGTACAGTACACATGTACACAACATCTTGATAACAGTCACAGTTTATAGATACTGTACATGTATACACATCACAATGATCACAGACACAGTATATAGATTCAGTACCTGTGTACACATCACCTAGAACACAGACACAGTTTATAGATACAGTACATGTGTGCACATCACAATGATCACAGACACAGTATATAGATACAGTACATGTGTACACACCATCTTACATGCAAATAAAGACACAGTATATAGATACAACACCTGTGTACACATCAACTTGATCACAGACACTTTATATAGATACAGTGTGTGTGTACACAACACTTTGAATGCAGACACAGTATATAGATACATTACATGTGTACACACCATCTTGATCACAGACATAGTTTATATAGATACTGTACGTGTGTTCACAACACCTTGATTACAAACACAGTATATAGATACAGTGCATGTGTACACATCACCTTGATCACCGTTTATGTGTGTACACTGTGGTAACCCTGATTACAAACACGGTCTAAGGATTGAACTACATAAATGATTCTTTGATTATACAGTGTAGCGAAGGGGTTTTAGCGTGTGTAAAATTTGGTGTTTTGTCTGCTCACAGGTATACTAAAAATTTTGATTTTTTTTTATTTTAGCGGACTCAGGGTAACAGATTTTTAAAAATGGACAAAACGAAGAGTTCTGACTATTTTGGCGATTAAAATTTTAGTGGACTATCATCAAATTGCCAAAATAAGACAAACTTAGCACCGTGCTAAAATAACCCGCTATACATTACGAGTCATAATATACAGATCTCTATGTAATACTTACTTTACTTAATCCTCTTCGTGCTGGATAGCACATAAGGCTGTCACCAGAGACTTCCATTCTGGCCTATCCTGTGTCCATTTCTGTATCTGTCCCCATGTCCAGCGGTTCTTTCCTATCTCTTTCTCTACAGATCTTCTCCATGTTTCTTTTGGTCTTCCTCTCTTTCTCTTGCCAGGTGGTATCCATTTCAAAGCAACCCTTGGGATGGAAGTTGGGTGCATTCTACATACATGCCCTATCCACAGCCATTTTCTTCTCTTTATAACTTGAGATAGAGGGGTGGTGTTGGTTTTTTTTGTAATGCTCCTCATTTGAAATGGTATTTGGCCAGAAGATACGCAGTATTCTGCGAAGGCAGCGTGTCTGGAAGGTATCTAGCTTGTTTGAGATGGTTTTAGTAACTTTCCATGCTTCAGCACCATATAGGAGGACCCCAAGCACGTCGCTCTTGAAGATCCTTATTTTGGTGTTTGTGCTGATCTTTGCTGACCTCCAGATGTTTCTTAGTGCAACATACGCTCCTGTGGCTTTTGAAATTGAAGATCTATATGTAATATTGATAATTTAATATTTAATGTTTATATTTGCAAATGTTTTCCTTTATATAACACTACTGAAGCGTTTTCATAACTGTATAAAACAGGTACGGGGTCAAGACGTCATACATGTTCGTATGAATAAACGTTCGACGTCATATCTCAGTGACGTCATAAGAGGTCGACACGCCTTCAGTGGATTACATAAATGCCGTTGGGTTTAAAAAATAATGCATTTCACACGTTAAAAGTCACAATCAGGCAAATTTAAAGTATGAAAAAATCATAAATGTAAATATAAGTAATAAGGTATCATTTTGTGAGTGTTATTGAGATGTAAAACGGGTTGGTCACGTGATCAAATCCCATGAAGCCCTTCATGCGGGGCTTTATGGGATTTGATCACGTGACAAACCCGTTTTACATCTCAATAACACTCAAAACATGATACCTTATTTCTTATATAGATACAATATACAACATTTACAGAGACAATTACTTATATTATATATTTATATTTATGTATTTTTATCTATAATCTTAAATTATAAGGAAAGATTTGTCATTGATAATTAGAGTACAATGTTGCTACTTACAGATACATTTTTTCTGATTGAGGAAATCTGTATGGGACAGTTTGAAACCATGCACAGAAAAAAAGATGAAATAAATGACTGCTGTACATGATGCCTAGTTTAGTGTTACAGAAATCTTTCACAGTGACAGGTGTTAGTGAGTGTAGACACATTTCTTATGTATCTTCAGACCGAGTCGGGATCAGTGATAAGAGTGAAAATCTCGTCCTGTCAAACACTCTAGGTGAAGAACTATATCGTGTTACAGATATAACTCACTATGTTGGTGGAGTACACACTTTAACAAGTAATGGAGATTTGATTTATATAGACAATAAATTTAACATCAATAAACTATCTAAAGATCACAACATAAAGACCATATTAATACCGTACAACACAGAGTCAAGGCATCTGCTTGCAACATTAAAACCGTATAAGACAGAACTATGGACACCACGGTGTGTCTACAGCTCGCCCTCCAATGGAGACCTGCTGGTCGGGGTGTGTACGGTAAACAGTTTCCCTTTAACAGGCAAGGTAAACCGTTACGCTAAAACAGGAAAACACCTTCAGACTATAGGTAAAAAACTGTATAAAGATCCGCTCTACATCACAGAGAATCGCAATGGGGATGTTATTGTGTCTGACGGGGGCTGTAATGCCGTAGTGGTGACAGAAAGTAGTGGAAGACACCGCTTCTCCTACAGAGGCCCTCCATTTGGATTACGTCTAGTAATAAACAGAGATCCTTTATATGAACATCCAGGAAAAAGATCAGAACTACGACCACGTGGAATCTGTACTGACACGCTGTCACATATCCTGGTGTGTGATGATAAAACAAGCACAGTACAGATCCTGGACAAAAACGGTCACTTCCTGTCACATATATATACAGGAAAAGACGGGATAGGCATACCAGTGGGACTGAGTTATGATGACAGAACTCAGTTACTCTGGGTCGCATCACGGAACTACAACACACTGAATATCTACAGACTTATTCATGAAGACTCTCTGACTGGTAAGTTATATTGTTGTATTGTGTTTATGACTTCTATAGACTTATTTGTAAAGACTCTTTTACCGGTACGTTATACTGTTGTATTGTGTTTATGACTTCTATAGACTTATTTATGGAGACTCTCTGACCGGTACGTTATACTGTTGTATTGTGTTTATGACTTCTATAGACTTATTTATGGAGACTCTCGGACTGGTAAGTTATACTGTTGTATTGTGTTAATGACTTCTGTGGACTTATTCATGGAGACTCTTTGACTCGTAATTTATACTGTTGTATTGTGTTTATGACTTCTGTAGACTTATTTATGGAGACTCTCTGACCGGTACGTTATACTGTTGTATTGTGTTTACGACTTCTGTAGACTTATTTATGGAAACTCTCTGACCGGTACGTTATACTGTTTAATTGTATTAATGACATCTATTCATGGAGACTCTCTGACCGGTAAGTTATACTGTTGTATTGTGTATTGTGTCTAGTCTCTTAGCTGTTTTACAATATTAGGTGTAAAAAATCATAAATATAATTAGATATTCATTTAGACTATTGAAATGTAATAAAAAGATGTTGATAAATAATGCATTAATCATTCTTAGGTATAAATATATCAACACAATATATACTGTTAATTGATTATGATTTGTTGATTTAAGCAACAAGATTCAATTTAGCAGACCGATATAAATTAATCAAAATATCAAATTATTGATATGCTAATATTCTTATAATAGAGATAATGATTATTGTTTGTTTATATATTTGATGTTTAGGTTAGGAACATTTTTGTGTTTAACTTTATTGTTTTAAACAAACTATTTATTACTACAGATCAAACTTTACGCAGACTCTGTATATAATGTACAATGTGATACTATGACGGGATATAATCCTATGTTAAATATTATGACCTTTTTAATATTTGTTCTATGTCTCGTTTGAAATCAAAACACAGTAGATTTAATCCAGAGTTTATTACAAATGTAAGGAAATGATTGCAAAGTACTGGTTGTGGCGAAAGGGTTGGGGGGGGGGGGTATAGGGGGTACAACAATGAGAGCAAAGGGGGTGTTATTATAGTAATCTGTTAGCTCGGTCTATTGGAGAAAGTCACTGTCAGATCAGGAGAGAATCTGTAAATGTTGACAGATAAAGACACTGTTGATATTTGCACGTGCTGTTCTGTCTAGGAATGTTGTGTATTTCTGTAGTAGGTGTTCAGTAAAGCTACATGCTCTACTCCGACTTTAGTGAGTGAACTCACATCCTGTCATCTTCATACAATGCTTGTGTATTTTAATCGATAAAAGTATATCTTAAATGTGTCTCAGGAATTAAAATGATATGAGATTTGATGGGCATGATGAAAAGAGAGAAAAATAGCACTATAAAGGGCCTCAATTTGAATTAACATGATGGAAGATTTTCCGAACATTTGATGATTTGTATAAAGGTTTTGAATGATCAAAGTCTAATAGAAAATATGATTTTCTATGCTGATTTTAGCTCACACAAGCCACATTTAATTAAATTAAAATATGTTTACAATGCTTAACATGCTAAGAGCTCAATTACGCTCTTCTGATCACGTATTGTTCGTCCGTCTGTCTGTATAAACTTACGAAATTTTCACTTTTTCTCAAGAGCCAACAGGCTAACTTTAACTAAATTATGTTTGTACAAATCTCCCTTGTGTGATGGGGAGTTTACTTTTTTAAATGAAGGACCAACTCCTTTATAAGAGGAGATAATCAAGAAAAGACAAACATAGGGTGGAGTCCTCAAAAATCTTCTCAGTAGACCCCAGACCAGAAAATCTTACACTTATGTGAAATCATCCTGGGGTAGAGAAGATTTGAAATTATTAAAATCATGACCCCCTGTGGTAGGGGCGGGCCACAATAGGGAATCAAAGTATTACAACAGAAAAAATATTCAAAAGTCTTTTTCTCAAAAACCACTGATCCAGAAAAGCTGAAACTTATGTGAAAATATCCAAAGTAAGTGCAGATTCTATATTGTACAACTTGTGACACCCAGATTTAGTGTTCGGAAAAAATTTGGTATACAATTTTAAGATTGAAATCCGGTGGAGAAACAGCCGAGCAAAAGTTACTAATGTGAGCGTTGTGGCCCATGGACCTCTAATTACAATTTCTTCTGAAAAAAATATCTTATGCGCTAATATTAAATTTTCTTCTATGAAACCATATTTCGGAAGATATTTCTTAGAAAAAATTATATAAAGTTGTGTTGCACTTGTTATTAATTAAATATATTACTTTCCAATCTCACTGCATGGGCAATTGGGAGGCCAATAATAACAAAACCATTGATAATTTGTTCACGCTTTATGTCAAATCAAGTCATTGGGACAATTTTATCGCTATGTCAGATTGTTAAACGTTTTAGATATTGTTTTTCCTTGAAATTAAGTCTTTTTAATGAACATGTAAATAATATTCTTGTTACATTGGACTTAGAACAACTAACCATATATAGAATCTTAACTCAAATAGGCATGTCAATATCTTGAGAAGCCTTTGCTTGACAGAAACCAAACTTACCCTCCTATAAAGGGTAGATGACCGGTACGATTTTAATTCAAAAGTCAAGGAGCAAACCCATCTAGACACAGAGATTTGCTAGAAAGACATTAACCCTGCTACACTAGTTTTTATGGAGAAGTTACATGATCTGTTGATTTCAAGTACATGAGGTGAACGGTTAATGGCCAAACTTGATATAGGAAGACACTTATCGGTCATTTTCTTGTGAATCTTTTGTTAAACAGATATCAAAATTGATATTTAATTCCATTTAGGGAGTAGATGATCTCTTTGGCTTATAAGGTCTCAGGTTATTTTTTGTTTGTTTGTATATTGTTAAACGTCCCTCTCGAGAATATGGAGTCGCCACCACTTCCCAGTGGAGAGCTGCGAATTTTGTCCACTCGGTACTTAGGGCCATTTAGCTGCAATAATGTAGCCCTCTCCTTTTTTTGAGAGGGCTACAACTCATAAGGATCTCCGTAATGGTGCCATGCAGCAGCGATTCTCTCCCGCACGGATTTTGGATCAAATTGTCAGAAAAAGGCTATTTTATCAATATGTCTTACCTGGACTTCCCAGTTATCCTAGAGATAAATCGATCCAAAAATATACAGAACAATCAATATATCCGTATTTTTCTTGTATGTCAACATCACAACTTAAGTTTATCCGCTGTGTTTACTGACCTTGACAGATTTTATTTTGGTACAGCCAATGAGATTAAGGATCTAGGGGAGCGGATTTTTGGGAAATTACATTATTTTAAGCCTAAATATCGCTGTAATAAAAAAATGACACATGGAATGATTTTTTTATCGATGTTTAGTATTACTATTCATCACAATTATGTATAAACATCAACATTTGCTTTATTGAGACATTCCCAATTTCAAGCACAAGTCTCAGTACGTCACGCGTGAACTGTAATGGCTGCTGAGTAAGACAAACAGATTTATTTTACATGGTTTTCGCGTTTAACGAGCTATGGTGTCGACAGTGAAGAAAAAATTCGTCTTATTAGTAACTTTAATGTAAAAACAATTTATTCTCCCTGCAGTTACCCGTATCTGTTAAATATTTTGCACCATCAGGGAGATGCTTTGGAATTGTAGCCCTCTCCAGAAAACATTAGATAAAAAAAAATCGGAGAGGGCTACATTATTGCAGCTAAGGGCCATTGAGCAGTCAGTGATCATTACGTGCCAGCACCCACTGAGACACTGGACCTCAGTTTATACGGTCCCATCTGAAGGACAGCTCTTCACGTCCCACAGGGGATTTGACCCAAGGACGTAAGGATCTACACCCTATTTCGGGAATCTAGAGCAGACGCTCTAACCATTGAGCAACGCAGGCGATGTTAAAGGTCATAAAACAAACGATCTCGTAATCATGGAATGAGTGCTCTACTGATTGAGCTTCATGTATGATACTTTGACAGCTTGTATGGAGGAAGATATTCATCAATGAATATTTTGAAAATCCTTTGCTTTACATACATCCAGCTTGGTACACCTAATTTCACCTTTATGGCATCACAATGTCAAAGGTCAAGAGCCAAAAACACAGACACTACACACAGCAAGATATGTCAAGTTTTTTTGAGAACCATTTGCTCTACAGACAACGAATTTAGGAAGCAAATGTATAAATCTTCTCCTTTGCTCCTGAATATTAAGCAAAAGAAACTAAATGCATAAATATAATTAGCAAAGTTGCCAGCCTTTTCCGAGATTTTGATTTGTTATGGTCCATAGGTCAAGGGCTCTGCTTTTAGGGTAGAGCTCTATTGATTATAATGGAAATGCATCTATTCTTTATAAATATTCTCCTCTGCTCCTTAGAATTAACCAAACAAACTAAATACATAGTTGTTATAAGCAAGGGTGCGTCTTCCAAAATTTGAATTTTATGGCTCCTGGGCTCTGCTGTTAGAGCGGGGTTCTAAATATTCTTAAGTGAAGATGTATTAATTCTTTAAACGGATAAGTGCCTAATATATATCATAGAACCAAACTTAATGCCAGTATATAAAAAAAATGAAATGTATAATTATAAAAATTTGTGTGCCTATCCTCTGCTTCTGGGTATCTAAGAGGCAAACAGAGTTTAAAAATTGTAATTAGGGAAGCATATGAGAGTGACATTGTACTTCTATGTGCTTATTGCTCGAGTAAAAAAATCCTTTCGTGTTTATTTAACAGGGTATTGTGTTTTTTATTGAGAACACACAAAATATATATATATATATATATATATATATATATATATATATATATATATATATATATATATATATATATATATATATATATATATATATATATATATATATATATATATATATATATATATATATATATATATATATATATTTATTTATAACCATAGCTATTCAGGTGAGCATGGATCTTCTGTTAATATTGCTAGATTATGGCGCATACCTATATTAAAAATCATTCTTTTTAAAGCCTCTTTATGGTTTTCCCTCTGGATATCTACCTGTACTTTTAATATTTCTTATGAATGTGCAGGTCTCCCTCTAGAAAAGATGAAGTGTGAGAAGCATCCCAGTGGAACATTGTCGAAGTTCTGTGACCCGTGCGAGGCCGCCTTGTGTGAGCTCTGTATCACAACTTCTAGTGATCATAAAAGGCATGACGTTAGAGATGTTGAGAAATTGTTTCGTGAAATTCACAAGAGAAAAGGTTGGTAACGAGGTAAAGTTAAAGAAAACCTTTGACAATCTTAAGTATTTTGTTGTAGAAGATTGACATTATTTGAAATCCTCAACTGTATGATTACATTTTGTATTTTATCCAATTTCCCAAAGATGTTTAAGAATTTTGCATCTGAATTTAAGCGTTTTTAATATGCCTTTCTTTAAGTCCCAGGCTTAAGAACTTTTAAATTACCTTTTAGTCTTTTTAACCTTTTACCTAGCTAGTGCATTGATAACCTCAGTATTGCCCTAAATCCTTATCAACCTTAGCAGTTCAGGTATTTTGAGTTTTGAGGGTAAAACAAATATAATATAAATATATGTTTGTAGATGAAGATGCAGTTTTGATGTGCCTTCTTCTTTGCCAGAATTACAAAATAAATCTTGAAGAAGAACAATGGATGGAGAAATATAATGCTGTGGCTGACGTTTTCAAATTTAAGAAGATTAAGAAGAAATCCGATCTTAACAAAATAAAAAAGTACAAACCAGTACTGAAACAGGATAGTTCCAATATCGAGTTTTCTTGTAAATTCTTCAGAGACACCAGTTTTCTAAGATTTGCGATAGAACGAAAATTTGTTGATATGTTTCTAATTTGGGCAGAAAAAGAAAACATTGCGAAGTTTTGCAGATCATCAAATTATCTGAGAAGAGAGGATGAAGAAGAAGTTTGTTGTTGGTTATTGCCAAATCAAACAGAACAACTGATAGATAGACTTGGGGAAGAAATGTTCTCACATGTCACAATGAAGGACCAGTCCATACATGAATTAGTGTATAGAAAGCGTACGTTTTTTTGTGGTATTGTTTTGTATATTTCAATGTTTTAGTCTTTTTAATCTCCTTTACACCAAGAATTAAAGTTAGATTAGAATACCAGCCTGTCTCTTTTTTCTGTTAAGATGTAAGGTAAAACTGTATTCAAGCCAAATTGAGGATCTGGTACATCTATGGATTCAAACTTTGATGCGTTCTACAAACTTCGCATCTGACCATTGACTCCGGTTAAATTCATGAATTAAGTCAGTTCTTGCTCATCTATTGTGACCATTTTTATTCCAAAATTTGCCCTTTTCTATAAGTGTTCTGTAGATATTGTCTTTTCTCTAAAACCACTAAGGAGTAAATCATTATTTTAAAGAGAAATTTAAGGAGGACCAAGCCCTCTTTTCGATTCGAAATATTGAAAATTATGAATAAGTGATAGTATCATTTAAAATTTTTCTCTTCGAGAAGTGGTAGGACAAAATTAAATCAAAACCCACATGAAAGCTAGCTATGCATGAATAAAAACTTGTACAAATCATAAATCTTGGGCGATAGGTTTGACCACAATAAAGTATCGCATTCTGTGACATAGAAATACGCAGAAAGAGAATAAAATTATCTATAAAAACATAGCAGGGTAAAATATTGATGATATAACAAAAACTTCATTCTGACTTCATTTTATTCAAATTCTTGTCTAACAGAAAAAAAAAACATATAGAATAGGTTGCAATACATAAATAGGATACCTTAACATTTTTTCAGGAATATGGAATTAGTTCTTCTGAAGAACAAGTAGTAAACAGATCATAAAGTGATTGTTGTCGTCCATGTCCCTTCTCTTTTTTTGTATCTAAATGAATAATGGTCTTTACCCTTTAGTATTTGTTAGGCTTAAAGCTGAGAAGTGTTCCATTATAGAGCAAGGTTTTTTAAATTTTACACAAATTCAACATACTCTTTTGGTTCATTTAAGTAGAATAATTAAAAGACATGAATATAAAATTTACCGATTTTTGTAATCTAAAGGACTAATTAACAGAGTTTCATTCTTGTAAGAGATGTTTTGATTTGTTACAGTGGGTATACCAGTACAGGTTATAATGAGAGGAGATGACTCCGTGAAAAATTTCCTGGAAAATCTCAAGAAAGGAAAGACCACCATGTACCACGCCACTGGGATGTTGATAGGATGTGCAGGCAGTGGGAAAACAACGTTACTTGGAAGATTAAAAGGCATCGACATGGGGGAAATAGGGAGAAATACAAGATCAACCAGAGGAATAGATATCCAGACCGACGTCTTTGATGTGTCAAATACCATCGAAGGTATTGTTTCAATTTTAAATCAAAATTTGTAAATGTCATTCACCTCTGATGAAGACCCTGTCATGAACTTTATTTTGGGATAAGTTCTTTTTGTTAAAATGTGTTTATTAATTTTTTTGATAATTCCTGGCTCTCTGATTGGCCGATGTCCAAAATTATGGCGAAAATAAAGCCTTACATTAACCTTCACGTGACCTTTCTAAGTGATTGTAAGGATTTTTTCTCTACATTGGCCTAAAAATAGAATAAAAAATTTTGAATTGATACAAATAGATTTCGGAAGCTACCGAATTCCACTCAGGTTTACATAATGCTAGGGAAATATATAATTTTGGGTGGGGAAATATACCCGTTTTTTAAACGTAAATGTTTGTTTTTAATATATATTTTAACATTCACAACTTGCCAGAAAGAATCTCTTGCTAAAGGAAAGTCATATTTGTTCAAATGAAGAGTCACTTACATATTCATTGGGAGATTATTAAGAAGTTGTAAAAATCTGATGGCATGCTTTAAAATTTTGTTCTCAAAAACAGCAAAGCCATTCTTAGTCATATTGATCATGAAGTGCTCTCGTGTTGTCTTGATTCAATATTTTCAATTAATCCCCCATCCTGGGTTAGGATGGGGAAACCATTGGGTATCAAAGTTTACACAAGTGTATTTTAGAAAAAAAAACTCTGAAAATCTTGTCTCGAATTCGTCATGATATCATGTTATTCTACTCGATTTCTCATAATATTATAGCCCTGGTTAATCATATTAATATGCAAGCACCCTCAGGTCGCGTAGATTCCGATCTGCTCAAATCATGACATCAAGGGTTAGGTTGGACTACAATGAACGTTCAAACTGAAAGGGAGAAAATCACAATTAGTCAACGAAATATGCAAGCATCCTTAGTTACTGTAGATTCTATTTATTCAAATCATACCCACTTCTACCCCTCCTCCTTTAAAGGATATCGGGACCACTTATGCATTAAAAGTTTTAAATACTAAACTATTTCTATTACTTTTCTTAGCCACAGTGCTCAGGTGAGCTTTGTGGCCAATGGGCCTTGTGTTCTATATCGCTATTTGAAACTCTCATTATCATCGTGTATATTTTATTGACACTGTATAAATGGCATAAATTAATCTAGTACATTAAATGCATGCACAAAATATGCCCAAACTTAGTATTAACGAGTCCGAGTCTAATTCGAGTGCGCATGACTTTGCGCAGATTTTTAATTTCATGCAGTCATTTGTGCGACAGTACACCTTTGCCAAATATTTTGATTTTAATATAAAATTAACACTATTTGTAACCTCTACTGGTCTGAAAATGTGATTTTACGACATTAATTAGGAAAAACGCTGAAATGGCTCTATCGATGTCACCATTTTCGGATTTTGTAAGCAACGCATGACGCTGAACAATGACGCATGGCTCGCTTGTATGTTCAAGACGTCCAGGGATATTATACTTAATACTGATGACAGATCATTTAAAGAGGCATACTAGCAATTCAAACAATATTGATTAATAATGCAAAATGTATGTACTACAAATCAGCAATTGAGGAGAGTTCTAATCCTAGAGAAATGTGGAGCTATCTCAATCATTTAGCTTCTAAGTCAAAAAATATTTCTCCCACTCTTATTAAAGACAATGAATCACAAATTGATGATTTACAACTAATCGTAAATGTTTTTAATGAGCATTTCCCAAGAACTTCTGGCAATTTATTAACTAAAACACAAAACCATAGCTTTAATTCTCAAGAATTAAAAGAATTCACGAAGTCCAAACTCAATGATGAAAATGTGTTTAGCTAACTTCCTATAAGCCAGGACGATGTCTTAACTATGCTACGCTCACTTGACATTAAAAAATCAGCAGGTGTAGATTTCATTGGTCCCCTTCTCTTAAAACTTTCTGCAAATGTAATTTCTAAACCCATAACTCATCTCATTAATACTAGCATTACTAATGGCATCTTCCCTTCCCAGTTGAAACGTGGTATAGTCACCCCCATATATAATAAAGGCGATAAAAGTGATCCCAGTAATTACTGTCCAATATCTTTCCTACCAACTTTGTCAAAATTTTTTGAAAAGCATACTGCTAATCAAGTACGTGAATTTACAAGAGCTTTTGACCTCATTATGAGCTCACGGTCTGGTTTTAGGGAATTCCACTCTTGACAAACAGCACTAATCAAACTTACCGAATAAACTGGTTGCATAGAATGGACCAAGGAAATTTAATTGGCATAGCTTTTCTAGATTTTAGTAAGGCGTTTGATTAAGTCAGTCATGATATCTTAATAGAGCAAATTACGACATTATAATTTTGATTCATAAACAATGAAGTGGTTCAAGTTTTATTTAAATGAAAGGAAGCAAAGTGTAAAAATTGGCTCATGTTCTTCCGATATTTTACCTATCACAGCAGGGGTGCCACAGGGATCCATTTTAGGCCCACTCCTATTTTTATTGTATATAAATGATCTTCCTTTATGTGTAAATTACTCTAATATTGATATGTTTGCAGACGATACAACTCTGCATTTACCTAACAGCAATGCACATAATATCGAAAAACATTTAAATTCTGATTTACGTGAAATTGAAATCTGGTGTATACAGAATCAGATGATACTGAACACAGACAAATCAAAATGTATACTTATGTGTACAAAACAAAAAAGATCAAGATTAAATAACCCAGTACTTGATGCAGAAATTTCTGGCAAAAACTTGGAAAATGTTGAAATTGAAAAACTCCTAGGTATTCAGATAGATTAATCTCTACAGTATAATTGTCATGTTGATGCAGTTTGTAAATCCTTGAGATACAAATTATTAACGCTCCGTAAAATTAAGAAATTTCTTCCATTAAGTTCAAGAAAACTTTTCTACAATGCATACATTTTGCCTTCAATAAACTTTTGTCTCACAGTCTGGGGTAATGCGTCCAAATGTAACATTGAGAGAATTCATAAGCTTCAGAAACGGACTGTTAGAATTATTCTTGATGCAGCACCTGACCAACCATCTAAGCCTTTGTTTGAAAAACTAGGATGGTTAAATGTTTTTGAATTAGTTACGTTTCATAAATTTATTTTATTGTATAAAACGTTTTATGGTATGAGCCCAGAATACATCCAGGATCTTTTTATTTTTCACAGTTCTGAATCTTACTCACTGCGTTCAGAATTTAATTATAATCTTCGATTACAAAAGCATCGAACAATCTTATTTACAAACTCTTTACAATATTCAGGTGTACATTTATGGAATGGTCCACCTTTACATGTTAAATTATCACCATCTTTACCTGTTTTTAGAAAGAATTTGGAAAAAGTTATAATTAGCCAACGTCTGTAATTTTGATTATTATAGATGTCCTTATTAACTATGTCTTTTTTACTTTGTAAATTGACTTATTTATTGTCCTATATTTTCATAAATTTGTATACTACATCCGATTATGAAATTATAATATGAGCTGATCATTTTCATGTACATTGTATATATGTTTGATTGTACCATTTTATGTATATTGTTGAATTATAGAAGGCCTCGGAGAAGAAAAGTACTTTGTACTAATCGGGTTACCTTCTTTAAATAAAGCATTATTATATTATTATTATCAAACATTGCTTTTTTTTACAAAAAAAAAATCGTATGTGCCGATAATTCATCTGCACTAATATGTAGTTCTATTGTATTAAAAATTGGCAATTTTAGAGATATTGGGCTTTAAAAAATAAACTTAGAAATTAATTCCTGGACCAAAGTAGATGGTGATTTTTTTTTTTTATAAAATTTCACAATTTGATGACTTTTTACAATAACTTTCATGTACTTGAAGAAAAAAGAAATCTCTAGGGCAGAAATACTAAAAATATGGGAAAAAATGTGAAAAATTAGCGCTTTTCCAACAAATTCCCATTGGGTCCAATAGTAAAATTTGACACCTTTTGAGATGGTCCCCTAAGAAATCGGGGTGATAAACCTTTGATTTTTTCACCTTAAAACAATAGTTATAACAGTTAAAATTAATTATCAAAAAATTATCAAAATCCCTACGGCAGAAATAATTAGACATATAGTGCAGCTTTGATTTTTTTTAAATTTATAATTAGGGTGTCAATAATTTGGTTAAATAAATAACTGATCTTTATGAATTTAAATATTTCTTACAGTAAATACATCAGACCAAAAACAACGCATTAAGGTTAGAATTGATGAAACAAGTCAAAATCAAACGATTCCAGAACCTTATTATGAAGAGCATGTATATGAAAATACAAAATCACTAAATGTTGATGTCCAAGGAAATAATGAAGAAGACATTGCTTGTAAGGCCGCTAATGAAGAAGAGATGTCACGTGACAGCATGAACACAGAAACCGAGTCATTTAAAGAAGACGAAGTTGCTGCTCCATTGTTTGAAAAGATAGAGGGAGAAGTTGAAGAAATCCAAACTGTTGCTAAGAATTCAGAAGGTTTGGGGATAATACGAGTCTCCAAACAAGCTACGGATGAACCAGAGAAAAAAATCAGCATGATTGATTTTGCAGGACAATGTTCATATTATTCCTCACACCAGATTTTTTTGAGTCCACGTGCATTCTTCATTCTGGTGCTCAACATGGAGAAAAACTTTGATGAAATGGTAGGAGAAGAAGTCTGTTGCCAGGAACGTTCTATTTACAAAGAATGGACACACAGAGGTTTGTATTTGTACAAAATACATTGAAAGCGGAAAGTCAAACACATTTTTAAAAGGAAAATTTCTTTGTGAAACAATGATGCCCTTTCGGCAGTTCATGGCAAATATAGTTTATTATATAGCTAAAAATATTTTATATGAAAAGAAAACTACAAAAATCTATAGAGAATTTTAACGTTCAATATCTTTGCGTTTTATTGGACGCTGACATAAATGATGAATATTGTTCAATATTATGTAACGGGGATGATGTGAAATATGATTACGAAAAAAACATTCAAAGGGAATAGCTATTTTTTACAATTTCTTGGTCAAAAAGTAAAAATATTCCAAAGAATGTAACAAGAAAATTACTGTGAAAATACGCCCGAGCACCAACTATCCAAACGAGGATTAATTAAACCTTTTCAAAGTGGGCCAAACTGCAAGGTTAAAGAGTCAAATTGTTGTTTTTAAAAAGGTTTTTGAAACAAAAAATACACGAATCATCCTTCCAAACATTCAAACTTATGGCTAAACTTTACTATCAAAGTTCAAAAGTTAACGTTTAAAGTAAAAAATATCTCAAGGAATTGTTAATCACAAGAAATAAACAAAAATATTTATCTTAAAAATAATTCAACTATAAGAAAATGTAAACAAAGTAGTGGTGATTCGCAAAATTTTGAAACGTAAAAATTAATCAACAGCATAAAATTGCCGTAAAAATTTCCAGATTTATGGTAATAGCACTAGTATGAATGTTTATCTTTCTCAGACTACCTTACATTTTGGGCAAAATCCATTCATCAATACAGCAGCGAAAAGGCTCCCATTTTACTGGTTGGTACTCATGCTGAACAAAAGACAGATCAGGTATTTCAAGAATATTTTGGTGAAAAATTACAAAAATCTTGATTGTGAACTATTAACATATTAAGAGTTGTATTTAAAAAAAACAATTCTTCTTATGTCTCAGAGTTACGGTTACTTTTAAAGTTGCAATTAACATTGGTTACTTTGGGGATATCAGTTTCTCCTTCTGTCTAAGGGAGAAACATAGGTAACTCATACTTGAACCAGAGATTGGAGATAATTTGAGAATTTGTCATGAACATTGACCAAGGGTCATATAAGTTTAAGGCCTCTGTCAAAGAAGTAAAATTGGGGCATTGCTAACGTAAGGATAAAAGTTCATATTTTATGCAAAGTTTGCTTGTGATCAGAAAAGTTGACTGGATTTTGACCTTGTCAAATTCAAAGTCACTGACAGGAAAAAAATGTTGACACAACATTCTAATGGAAGGAAATTGAAGTTCAGACTTTATTTATTAAAATTTTTTTTGACCCATGGTTCAAATTAAGAGAAGATATCATCTAGGACGTTGACAGGTTAAAAAATTCAACTGAGAAGAGGAACAATATTTTATGGCAATGACATTTTATCAGAAAGAGGTTAGATGTTTACCCTTCACACAAAATTCAGTAAAGAATTTATTAATAAATTGAAGGCATTAAAACAAGTCCCGGATACAAGCTCAAGGTCATTGACAAACTTTACTTCGTGCCCCCTCCATTTTTTCTAACAAATTAAAACATGGAAGTTAAATTTTACCATGAGTTTTTAAGCCAAAGATTACCGATGGGGTGATATGATCTTCAGCATTTTTTGATAGAAAAGTAAACCTTGCATTGACTACATATCTTAAGTAAAAAAATTATTGGATTCAAGAAATAAGAAAATGAGAAGGGGTGCTACTTAAGCTTACCAATAGAACATTTATTTTTATTTACTTTCGTTACTATAGTATTATCTTTAAAGTTGAACATGAACATGAAGGAAACATCTTATGTCCTTTTTTATTGTTAATCGTATGACTTCTTTATCTACTTTCAAAAAAATATCATTTTGCTAGGAAAAAGTGGAATTTTTCTTTGAGATATGGAAGACTTTGGAAACAAAAACCAAGTCTTTGCAGGGACATCTTGACAGCGAGAGAGAATTTGCCATAGGATTCAACGAAAATGAAGGCATTAAAAAAATCAAGGAGTCAATTGTTGATGTTGTTCGGAATCTTGATCACTGGGGTGAAATGCTTCCGCATTCCTGGGCTATGTTTGAAAACTTCTTCGAGGAGAAGAAACACCTCAAAATAATTAATAAAAGAATACTTTTGGTTTTCAATGAAGCATTGCCAGAGGACATAAAATTAGAGACAGTTGCTGATGTCAATACCATGCTGCAGTTTTTCCATGATATCAGAGAAATCTTATATTTCTGTCAAGAATTCCTGAGAGAAGTAATCATTCTAGATGTTCAGTGGTTTGCAGATGCGTTCAAAAACATTATTACTGATAAAAACCATGCAAAGGAAGATTTACGTGAGTTAACATCAGAGTGGGACCAATTCGATGACACTGGAGAATTGAGTGACATTTTGCTATGCAGGATTTGGAAAATGAACGATAACGAATATCTTGAACACAAAGATGAGATCATGCTGTACATGGAGAAGCTGGGGCTGTTGGCTAAAATGGATGACAAAAATTGGTACGTTCCATGTATGAACAAGAAGTCATTTCCTGTTAATGCGTTTTCATCACACCCCGCCTCATCCATTCTCTGCTACACGTTTGATGTTCTTCCTGTCGGAATTTTCCATCGCCTTGTAGCAACTTGCATGCAGAATACTTCAAAGATGTTTTCCTTTGAAGACCGAGGATGCATATACCAGACTGCGGCTAAGTTCATGTTTCAGGACCGCCACCATAACATTCTGATGGGAATGACCCAGACAGAAATCCAGTTGCAGGTGTTTGTTTTAGAGGGAGAAGTTGAGGTTTTTATATGCCACAAAGTAAGAGAAAGAATTGAGAGTGTGTTACATGATCTTTCTAGCACATTCCAGGAAAACTCTGAATTCCATGTTGCGTTCAAATGTAAACCTGTTGGATTTTGTGACAGCAGAAAGAGTGCTGTCCTAAGTGAATCAGAGTTTTCGCGAGCAACTTTCCAGTGCCCTTCCTGTATAGAAGAGAAAATCCATATTGTTAACACCAGAGACATCATGAAGTATTGGAAACAGGTATATTACAATTAGGTCTATAATTACGCATGATTATAAATAAATGAAAATGAAATAATAAAAACGAAAAATGATGACACCAAATCATTTATTTTTTCCGTAATAGAAAAGCATTATATAACATAATACACATTTGGAAAAAAATATTTTATATTACACAAAATGTAAAAGTGAAAAAAAATTAAAATATGTAGAAAACACAAATTGGAAACGGGTTTTAAATTAAAATTCAGATTATTTTTAATGCCATTCTATGAAAGCATTTGTTATTATGTAACATTTAGTTAAATCACATTTTAAAATGGGATCAAACAAAATTTATTTGCAAATGTTTTCTTTATATTACTGAGAGCAAAAGTTTTTATAACTGTGTAAAAACAAATATTTGATGTGCTTATTTAGAAAGAGTAATTTCACAAAAACAGGACACCTTGATTCACTCTGTAAAGAAATTAATATATCTTTAAAAGAAATCAAAATATAAATGCTTGAATAAAGGGCTTTTTAATGAACCAACCCGTTTTAGCAATATAAACGGTTTCTTTAAAAAGAAGGGAAAATTCATTCCTGAAATCAGTATAAGTGTTATAGCATCCACTTAAAATTATCATTTGATATAGCTCAATTTTATATATAATTTAAATGTTTTATGACGTTTTGGTCATGAAATGTTTCAAAATATCTGGTTTTTAGGGAGCATATATTTTATATTCATTTCCAAACTCAAGTATTCTACTGAAGTTGATAAATGTCACACATTACAGTAATTCTAAAAAAATTCAAGATAAGTCTTATAAAATTGACAATATTGCATGAAATGTGCTTCGGATAAAATATTTTAAAATGAACATTACTTGGAAGGCTCTCTGTTGGTAATAAAAACTGCCAACAATGAAAGATATATGACTTCTAATTTTAACAATTACCAATTTTATTTTGTTTACATTTCATTCTATAATTATATAAATTTCTTTTGATAGACTTTATAAAATTCAAATAAATAGTTTTAATACGTATGTTGATTTCAAACATGCAAACCTGAAAATCTATTGACAAATGTTATCTGTGTAAAATATGTTAAAAATGCCAGGTTTGACTAAGGATATAACTGTCAACATAGCAACCAATTTTTCTCTGATTTCAGTTTTTTTCTCTCTCTATCATAGAGAGTTTGGAGTATTCTCTCTCTGTCTGCCTATCAGCTTTATATAAAATTTCAAAAACAGCCTGAATGTACGAAACTTAAGACATCTTTTGACTAAATTTTGTGAATTTGACTGGATATGTCGGTCATTTGAATAATAACCATGGCCTGAAAAAATATTTTATTTGAACTTTGAGTACTATGCATCAATCTCTAAAATATTTAATTTGATCGAATTTGGTGAATAGAAATGGAATGTTTTTACAGATACCAGTGAGCACAATAAGCACTCCAGTCGCTTCTGGTGAACAAGACCTTGGGGGTCGATCTAGATTCGCAAAACTTGGAATGGCAACAAACGATGTGTTAAATCAGGCATACAGAGATATACTAGAGATGGAAGTGCCTCCATCTGATATTGAAAGCAAAGCGAAGGCCACCTCAGTTTATAAAAGATTGCGACCAGAACAGGAACATATCTTGCTAGATGCTAAACATTCGGGATATAAGAATTTTGACATTTCTTTATTATACACACTAATAAGAAACATTTGTTCAACGATTCCTAAACCAACAAAAGGAAAATGGGGAGATAACAACATGCCTGCAGCAGGAGAGATATCAGTGGGTGAAATTTTAGAGAATTAGGTTAATAAATAAACAGTTTGACTGCACATGTTTTCAGCCTCAACCCCTCAGAAAGAATTCGATGACACCTGGTCAACCATATCAGATGTCTGCCAAAGACTAGAAGCCTTCACTGGAAAAAAGTACATAGATAGTCTTAAAGGCGTTCAGAAACTGGTTTTAAAAGAAGAAGGGGAGGATGGAATAAAAGCTATCATAGAAAAGTTTGCCAAGGACCAACATGAACTGTTGAAGACAGTCGTGTCAGATGTTCAAGAATTAAAATCAAATATGCAAGAACTCAGAGAAATCACAAAAATGGGTAATGTAAAATAGGGTCTAAAATTACAGAATATTAGAATTAAAAATAAATACAAAACAAATAACCTTATTGTCGATTTCTATGGATTTTGTAATTTATATTATGACTTATGTAACATTTTAAAAAGATATCACAAGTTTTTGAAAGCCTTAACTATATTTACAATAATTATTTTTATGGTAATCAAATTTTCCGTATAATATTCGGTTTTGAAAAATGAAATAATTTTTTAGATAAAATAAATTTGTATAAAAAGATTAAACTTGATAGACATGATATTTGACTATTTTTCAACCCCTTAATATTTTAATGCTTAATTAATTCATATGTTTTCATTCTTATATAAAGGCATTATCTAATACAATTCAATAGATCAAGTGGAGAAATTATTCAATATGGCTTACTTTGTGTGTTAAGTAATTAAGAAATATGATCTGTTTATCTTACAGGAACAGCAACAGGAGAATTTGGACAAGGATGGAAGGCCAGGTACGTTAAATCTTTGTCCACTGTTACTTCTATTGAATCAAAACACTTGTATAAAGAACTGCTTTATATTCTAAATCATGTTTTGACTGGTTGTAGTGTTGTAAAGACCTTCCCATCTAATCTTCTGTCCAGCTGTTCATGAAATTTTTTCTTGTGTCTGAATGATCTCTTGATTAAACAAATTTAGGCAGTTATGTTAAAAGCAAAAGCATTGATTAAAGACTTTATAAATTAATGTTTTATTGTCATTTTTGTTTTTTTTTTAATTTTGTAGAATTTTAAATATAATTTTATCCTATGTTTACCCCTTTATTCCAGTGTTGACCCATTGGATGAAACATCCCACATGTCAGTTATGACGTCACAATGGTTTTTGCATTATATGGTGTGTATAATATTTAAAAAGTATAACATCTATGAAATTAACCACTTTATAAATTAATATTCTTGTTTTAATTTTTGATTTTTGATAATTTTGTAGAATTTTAAATATAATTTTATCACATAGAGACAAATTATATATGGAACAGTATTCTGCACTGTGAGAGACACGAGTTTCTTCAAATACTGTAAATGTACGTGTTTTACTGTAAACTAAAACCTATATATGATGTCAAAAAATTTGCAGAATTTAACTCCGTGTACTCAAAATTCAATAATTTCTTTTTCTCAGATTCAATAACATGGATTACATTGAATTATGACCTCTTGGACACATAAAAGTTTGTTAGTTTTTCTAGGATTCTATTTGTATTTCTTTTTTAAATACTTTTTTTTCACATTTTTAGTCAAATTTTGCTAGAGTACATAAATTTTCTATGATTTAATGTTTGGAAGTGCCCAGCGTATTGTAGTTTTTTTTTGAGACAAAATAGTACGAAAGGTGACTAAATTACTATTTAAGAAGAAGGTATGGTTTTAGCTTTATTGCGCCCTAAAAATGTAATGATTTCAAAAGTTTTGAAACTGGCTTATATATTAGTTAAATAAAAGACTGATAAATCAGGAAAAAATATGGCATGAAGGCTTACCATTCTGCAAATAATGACGTTATTTGAATTGAAGCATTTTGATTTTTAAAGAAAAGCCTAAAATAGGCAAATTTATAGGGAATTTTCCTGTATAAACAGTCCAAGCCTCGCCCAAGTTAAATTTTTGATATTTTGTAAAATTAATAACAAATCACATATTTCTTTGTGGGCGATTACAATGTTATCTGACAGAAAATTCCATTGAAAATTGTTGTCTCCTGCAACTTTTTTAAGAAAATACGGGAAATTGCATATGTTTATGACGTCATTATTAGCATTTAAAAAAACATGCGAGAAAAATGACTTGTATGAGTTTTCTGCATTGAATTTCATTTATTTAAAAAGCATGAGTTTTCAACTTTTACACCAGTTTTATTTTTTAGAAAATCACAGGGCAAAATTTGTATAGAAACCATACCTTCTTCTTTCTGATGTTATGTTAAAAAAGTACTAGTGTTGCTATACTTTAACAAAACAATAATGTGTTTTGTTTTTCTGCTGTATGGTTTTAATGTGATCTTTACTCGTGGATATTTGATTTTAAAATGAAGCTCACAAGTCTAGAAGTTTGAAAAAAATGATTCTACATGTATAAAAGCCAACTGCAGTTGTAACAGATGATTAAAATACTACACGCATTTTTTCCCTTATATCATGGCCTTCACAGGTGCTAAAAAACAACTTGTATTTATAATTGTTTCTTACCATATGCCATCACGATCATGTACTACAGTTATGATCAGATCTATATTTTAAGGAGATAAGGCATTAGTTTCTCTGCGTAAAAAGGCAATACAGTTAAAAGTTTGACTAACAGTTACTGTTTATTTTGAAAAAAAATCTTTTCAGTTGATTCTTTAGAACGAAGACCAACAGATAAAGAACTTATGACAGTCAGTGGACAAATTGGGGACCATTTTCTGAATAGGGATTGCCCTTGGTCTAGACAACGCTACAATCCAACCAATAAGGATTGATTACCAGAATCATGGTGTGAAGATACAGGTGTTCCAAATACTTTGTGAGTGGAAAAGGAAGGAGGGAGGACGAGCAAGTGTGAAAAAGATCTCCTCGCTGCAGTCAAAGAGTTCAAAGACAAAGTCGATTTTGAGAGAATAGAAAGGGTTTTCAACATGTGATATGTATCAGTTGCTGATGTGTAAAGTCATTAGTGTGCATAGTTTGATAAATATCAAACTTTTTTTTATCAACATGATCAATCTTGACCAATCTGAGAATTGAGATCTGAATTCTCCCTTAAGTTTGGACATTGATAGCTTATTTATTATTAAATTAAGAATCAAATTTAATAAGCTTAAAGTTGGATAACATTCAAATATACATGATGAAAACTGTTTTTATTTTCATTTTATGAAGAGATATGCTAATATGAAATTCATTTTGTAGTTTTTGGTCTTGAAATTTTGTCACATAGATATTTTGCCTGTTGTATAGAAACATATTGTTTTTTTTAACTAAAGTGATTGTTCCATATACATGATATATGATTACTAGTTTCAGTTTTATAATAATGAACACTGGTGCAATTATCACGTAATGCAGTGTAATATTGTTGTTATGATATGGAGTTGTACAAAAAAATTTAATCAGAGAATCAATGACGAAGTCGATTTTGAGAGAATAGAAAAGGTTTTTAACACGTGATATATATCATTTGCTTATGTGTCAAGTCTTTAGTGTTCAAAGTTTGAGAAATGTCAAAGGTTTTTTCATCAAAACATTGAGAGCAAAGTACTCAAAATTTTAAACAATATATATTAAACAAAATGTTAAAAGTTGCAATTGAATTTCAAATAAACATGATAAAAACGGATGTTATCTCATTTTGTGAAAAATATATTTATCTAAAATTTTACATTATATTTTTCAATTACAAATTTTTTTCCACTAGATATTTTTGTCATAAAAAAAATATAACATTGCATTTCTTACAATAGATTTTTTCATCGATGATGACGTATGACTGTTAAAAAATTTACATTGTTGAATTGTGTAACATTGTAAATAAACATGATACAAATTGAAAAAAATCTTCTGCATAAACTTTTATTAAAAGCTGAACCTTAAAATTTTACTTTTATTGTTCAGTTTATTGTCTTGAATTTTTTTTCTCACAGATATTTTTGTCATTTGTATAGAGATATAACATTGGCTTTTCGTTACAAAAGCGATTGCTTCATCTATGATGACTTATGACTGTAATAACAGTTATATGATAATGAACACTGATGCAATTATCCAGCAATAATATTGCTGAATTGACATTAAGTTGAAAAATGAATCAATTTGTGTTGTTGTTTCAATAATATTAAATGTTTGTACATATTATGTTATAGCCCTATGGCAATACGTATTTTGTTTTCATGCCTTTATTAAAAGTATTCTTGTATTTTGAGCTAGCTTTAGCCAAAGGTCAAAATGAGTTATTGTTAACACAATTTTCCACCGTCAAACTGCTGTCTGCCTGCATGCCCATCCATCTGTGAACTTTTCACAGAACTACTAGACCAATGTAAACCAAGCATGCTACAAAGTATTCTTAGATAAAGGGGATTCAAGATTGTTCTAATAAAGGATACCTTCTTCAGAAAGAGATCATTAAAAATTAGTTAAAATTATTTTTCTCTTTTTTAAAATTTTCTTCTCAAAAACCTCTGGGCCGGAAAAGATGAAACTTATAGGAAGCATCCCAAAGGTAGTGTAGACTAAAGTAGAAAGGGTGGGTTTACAATAAGCAATCAAAGTGTTCCATTGGTCATGTTGGTATGTAGGATAAAATTTGTTCAAAGTGTGACACCCAGGGATAGAATATTGCATGGCCACAATATGAGTCAAAGTAAATAATAGGGAAAAATCCTTAAGAACTCCTTTAGTTTAAGAAATTTTGGAGCATCCTCACTGAAGGTGGCAGTTTTGTAAACTCAGATCGTCACCAACAATTTGCGATAATTAAACTTTTCAAATGTTCAATCAACAGGTGGTAGGGATATGATGATCCATAAATTAGGTAAGCTGACGATTAAAAAGTTGAAGTCATCACGTTTTTCATAATGCTTTGCTGTTAAGTATGCTATTATTGATGGATTTTCTAGTAAGATATTATGAACCTGAAGTAAGATGTTTACTAAATTCATTAATTAAATATGCAACAGATGTGTCAGACTCTGTGGTATCTTTTATCTTAGCTCACTAGGCTTTATCATGTCGAGATATGAATGGACGCATTGATTGTTAACTGATAATACGTACGTCGTCGATATATGAAGGTCGAGTTGAATGTCACAAGTGCATTCAAAGAGCTCACCTGGGCTGAAAGCTCAAGTGGGCTTTTCTTAACACATTTTGTCTGTAGTCCGTCTCTCTGTCCGTCTGTGAGCTTTTTACATTTTCGACTTCTTCTCCAGATCATTTTTCCCAATTTTAATCAAACATACCACAAAGCATCCTTGGGTAGTGAATTAGGCAGTTTGTTCAAATGAAAGGTCACGCCAATTCAAAGGGAGATACTTGAGAATTAGTGAAAATTTGGTGACATGCTTCAAAAATCTTCGTGTCAAGAATCACTATGCCACGAAAGATGAAACTTATAGGAAAACATTCACGGGTAGTGTAGATTCAAGTTTGTTCAAATCATGGCCCCAGAGGTTAGGGCGGGGCCACAAGGGACGATCAAAGTTTTAAATAGTTGTAATGTTCCAATCATCACGGCCGGGAGGGGAGGGGCATAGACTTACAGGGTAAAAAAGGGAATAAAGAGGTCATAGTTCGTCAAAGAAATATACAGGAATCTTTATAAGTGTCGATTTAAGTATTCAGGTTTGCTCGAATAATAGTTCCCTCCCTTAGGTACAGTGATCAGGTGAGTGATGTGGCCCATGGGCGTTTTGTCCATGATGCTTTTGAATAAATCCTCCTTTGTATGAATTCAAAAATAGGCTTGCTAGAAATGGGAGCGCAAGTGGTACCCATGGAAATTCCAAAATATTGTTGGAAGATCTCATCTCCAAATTCTACATGAGAAACTCAAGCATTTGTCTTATATAAACTTCAGAGTACTTTGTACAATCAAAATATTTTAACAAATTGTAAATAATTTTGCAAGTAGTAATATATAACAAGGTATATGACTTGCTGTCATTTTGGAATTTACAGTTTATAGTGAGTTTGGAAACATGCACACATTGCCGTCAACTTTGCACCATCAATTTGGACTTTTGCTCCTCACTTTAACTATCAGTTTGATTTGCGGATATACTTTATTTTTTAGTTTTGATTTTTGATTCACATTTTACCTTCAATGTAAACTTTTGGTCAACATTTTTCTGTCAGTTTTAAGTTTTGTCCATATTTACGCGTCATTTTTGGTTTTGCTTATCACTTAACTATCAATCTGAAGTTTTTCTTTCACATTTTACTATCAGTATGTTTTGTTTTGGATAATGTATACTTCACTGTCAGTTTGGACTTTTTCTTCACATTTTGCTAACGGTTTTGTTTTGTGTTTTGGATATACATTATTGGACTTTTGCTTCACAATTTACTATTTGATTTATTTAAGGATATGCTTTATGGGCAATTTGACGTTTTGGTTTTTATTTTACCAAGTTTATTTTCCCGTTCTTCTGTCTATTTTTGCCAACATTGCTGAAAATGCAACGATATATATACGAGGTGTGATCAAAAGTTCGCGAGCTACCTCTACATCTACAAAACCACAATTCTGATCAGAATGAAATTTGGCCCAGGAGATCATAAACGTGTTCTATAAATAGCATATTATTGATAAATGTTCTGCTCCTTCTTTGTGACGTCACAATGTGAAAATGACGTGAATATGTGGATCACGTAAGCTTGTGACAAAATATGGTTGACTCAGTCGCACTCTAGCAATGAATGCTATAAAGTTAAGTGTATATCTTGGAAACAACTTTGCAATAGAATATGATTGTTTGCACACGGGTTATGAAGACAAAAGAATTGCCAGATGTTTAGTCATTAACTTCATTGTTTGTTTAAATGAAGGAATGGCGAAAGGGAGATGTTTAAATATCATGTTTGTTATGATGCCCAGTGAAAGCAAGACGGGGAAGAGATTTGTCCCTTGTTAAACAATCCGATTTGAAAGATCGGCAACTTGCAGTTTGAAATATACTAGTAGTTAAATATCTTAACAATATCATTTATTAAATCCCTCAATTATTATCCAGACATAAAAAGGTATTCATAATATCAACTTTGATTAAACGACGCTCCAACAAGACAAAGGATTCGTCCATGCTCATTCTGGAAAAGGATATCATTTTCCAACCACATTATTGTCAAGATTTGGGTATTTCTGATAAAGGGACTGTTTTTGTTATAAAAATAATAACTCGCATGATAAGAAAAACAAGAATCAGAAAATCATTTAGCTCCAACGACATAATGCTGCAGGGCATGTCAAGTGACAGCCTATATCATGTGATTCGCGCATGGGCAGAAAGATTGTAATTGGACAGAACTATGTAATAAAATTTCAACACTGGACCCCCTGTAATTTATAATTTTTAAGGAAGTTATTCAATTAGTTAGAGAACTTTTTGGTCACCCTGTATAGATAAAGAAACAGATGAATATCAAGATCATTACATTAACATTGAGCACGTGGAATAATCATAGATCACCCGTAGAGTGACATACCGATGAATAAAGATCATTCCAATAACATTGAACAAGTGAACAATATCAAGATCATTTTTGCTTAGTTATATTATGTCCTATTTATAAATTACATTACAAGTGTAATTTTTCTTATGAAATCTATTAGTGGTTCAAAATAACACATGCGAAAGATCACGCCTTGTAAAATGTTTTATTTCAATTTAATGTGACGTAAAAATTTAACGTTAAGTATTATTTTGTCACTTTTTTCCTCGCAATATAACTTTGCAACGTCATCTAACGTCGTTTGACGTCATCAGACAGCTCTTACATCTATCAACCTTGAATCTAAATTCACATTTAAGATTAATGAGCAATTAACAAGTGGAATGTAAAATCATAGATCATTTTGGGGGTCTTATAACAGGAATCAAGAGCCTTGCATTTTAAGTAGAAGGAAAACCTTATACAAATTATGTCCTATTTACTATAATCACTCATATCCAATTCATTTGTTTCCTCTGATAAAATCTTTCCTGTACAAATAAAAAATATATCAGTGTAAACAAATGAATAGCTACATGAAAAAAGATCTAATTACTCGCCAGAATTTAAATAATTCCAAGAGGTGTTTCTTCATGTTTATTTTTAAGATTTAAGCAATACAAGTCTACAAAATGAAAACCACTTCTCCACTCTCACACATTATAGTTAACAAGGTTATCAGCTAAAAATCACAAAATATCTACAGCTTTTCATAATAGACCAAACACGATTCTTTCAGCAGAATGACAAATCTTTCTCATGATAAAATAAGAATGAACAGACACAAGCAAAATGACTCTAAATGGATTCTTAAATCACTGATCAAGTCTGTAATATTGTTTAAATATTAATAAAAGAAATTTTCAGTAATAATGTATAACTCAATTGTGGTTAATCCCCACACAGTCAATGTCACATTTCATAACAAGAAAAAAAAATCACTTATGTTATCATGATTTTATGATGCAAGAAATTCAATTAATTATTCCTTTAATGTCATAGGATTTCCCCATTCACTGGGAATTTGACTTTATTTCAACCTGGGATTTTACCCTACATTAACAACTTCTCATTGTGACATCACTTTCCATAGTACATCACTATACAATGTGACATCACATTGTGACATTACTTTCAATTGTGACATCACTTTCAATTGTGACATCACTTTCTATTATGACATCATATGGTGACATCACTTCAGTCAGAGTCATCATCACTGCTGTCTGGCCCACTGCGACGTTTCATTGACTGTAGCGCCTTTTCTCGGAGTTGTCGTTCACGCTCCACTTCCTCTTTAGATTAGATCAACTGCAGTGCCCTCTCTCTTAATCGTTTCTCCAGGGCCTCCAGGTCTTCTTGGCTGTCCGAGTCCTGTGTATAAGATAAACACAGTAATAAACAATTCACTCATTCAGCCCCACTGACAAGTATAGTGGTCGTATTTATAGTGCCTTGTTTTCCCGATGACAGGTTAACTCACAGGTTTTCCCTTTAAATATGGCCTCCTGTATAACCCCCATCTACAATCAGATTCTAAATACCCATCCCCTATCTCTACAATAAAACTCACAACCCCAACTCCTGACAATCTGTATAGCCCATCTCTACAATCAGACCCTTTATACTTCTCCGTCCCACAATGCCTGACAAAGTGTAAAAATTCCCTATCCCCCCTAACTCCCCCCTCCCCCTTCTGACCTTATCACTCACCTCTCCTTCAGCCCCCCTCCTGACAATCTATATAACTCACCTCTCCTTCAGCCCCCTCCACTCCTGACAATCTATATAACTCACCTCTGCAGCTGACAATCCTCACCTCTCTTCACCCCCACCCCTCCTGACAATCTATATTCACCTCTCCTTCACCCCCCCCCCCTCCTGACAATCTATATAACTCACCTCTCCTCACCCCCCCCCCCTCCTGACAATCTGTATAACTCACCTCTCCTTCAGCCCCCTCCACTCCTACAATCATAAACACAACTATATAAATTTGACAATCTATATAACTCACCTCTTCACCCCCCCCCCCCACTCCTGACAATCTATATAACTCACCTCTCCTGACCCCCCCTCCTGACAATCTATATAACTCACCTCTCCTTCAGCCCCCCCCTCCTGACAATCTATATAACTCACCTCTCCTACCCCCCCCCTCCTGACAATCTATATAACTCACCTCTCCTTCACCCCCCCTCCCTGACAATCTGTATAACTCACCTCTCCTTCAGCCCCCTCCACTCCTGACAATCTATATCACTCACCTCTCCTTCACCCCCCCCCCCTCCTGACAATCTATATAACTCACCTCTCCTTCACCCCCCCCCACCTGACAATCTATATAACTCACCTCTCCTTCACCCCCCCCCCTCCTGACAATCTTTATAACTCACCTCTCCTTCACACCCCCCCCCCCCCTCCTGACAATCTATATAACTCACCTCTCCTTCACTCCCCCCTCCCTGACAATCTATATAACTCACCTCTCCTTCACCCCCCCTCCCTGACAATCTATATAACTCACCTCTCCTTCACCCCCCCCCCCTCCTGACAATCTGTATAACTCACCTCTCCTTCAGCCCCCTCCACTCCTGACAATCTATATAACTCACCTCTCCTTCAGCCCCCCCTCCTGACAATCTATATAACTCACCTCTCCTTCACCCCCCCCCTCCTGACAATCTGTATAAACACCCCCCCCACTCTATATAACTCACCTCTCCTTCACCCCCCCCCTCCTGACAATCTATATAACTCACCTCTCCTTCAGCCCCCCCCCTTCCTGACAATCTATATAACTCACCTCTCCTCCCCCCCCTCCTGACAATCTATATAACTCACCTCTCCTTCACCCCCCCCCTCCCCCCCCCTTCCTGACAATCTATATAACTCACCTCTCCTTCACCCCCCCCCCCCCCCTCCCTGACAATCTATATAACTCACCTCTCCTTCACCCCCCCCCCTCCTGACAATCTATATAACTCACCTCTCCTTCACCCCCCCTCCCTGATAGTCTATATAACTCACCTCTTCCCTCCTCCTGACAATCTATATAACTCACCTCTCCTTCACCCCCCCCCCCCTCCTGACAATCTTTACAACTCACCTCTCCTTCAGTGACAATCTATATAACTCACAACCCCCCCTCCCTGATAGTCTATATAACTCAACTCTTCATACAATCTGTATAACTCACCTTTTCACCCCCCCCCCTGACAATCTATATAACTCACCTCTCCTTACCCCCCCTTGACAATCTATATAACTCACCTCTCCTTAACAATCTGTATAACTCACCTCTCCTTACCCCCCCCCCCCCCCTGACAATCTATATAACACCTCTCCTTCAGCCCCCCCCCCCTCCTGACAATCTATATAACTCACCTCTCCTTCACCCCCCCCCTCCCTGACAATCTATATAACTCACCTCTTCTTCCCCCCATTCCTGACAATCTATATAACTCACCTCTCCTTCAGCCCCCTTCGGGTTGTTCTTCTTATGTTTGTGTTTCTTGTGCTTTTTATGTTTCTTGTGCTTCTTCTTTTCCTTCTTCTTTTTCTTCTTAGAAGTTTGAGATTCCTGTTCAATCAACAATTGAAAAATATATCCATCATGCAGTGAGCTCTTTTGACAAGAACATTCACATCACTGATGTAGATACAAAATCTGTCTCCTTTTGATACAATTTAAGTTGAAATTTCTTTTACTACTCATTAACAGTCAAAGAAATAAAAATATAATGCTGTAACCGTAAACATGAAGGGAAATATTAAATAATATAAATGCAGGGACATTTAGAATAAAAAATTGTGTACAAAGAGCCAATTGTGACATTTAACAAATAATAATTAATCCCCAATTACCTCAGATTCACTCCCAGAAGCCTCTTTTATCTCCGTTTTTCCCCTTTGTTGGGCCTCCCCTAGCTCCTCCTCCTTCCTGTCCTCTCGAGGCTTCACCATGACAACCCTCTTGTACCCCTCCTCCTCCATATAGGGGGTTCCCCTTTTATCCCCCCGCACGTCATCCTCCTCCCATCGTCCACCCATCACTCGACGCTCGTACATACTCTGCTCCTCTTTACCACGAGCCCTGAACTCTGAACTCTCACCTCTGACCTCAATGCCATAATCCCGGGATCTTTTGGATTGAGGGTAATTCTCTGATCCACTAAATCCTCGGTTCCTTTTGCCCCGGGGGGAATATGTCCTCTCTGGAGGTGGTGGGGACCTGGACCCTCGGGCCTCCGGGGAGCGCGACATCTTACGTCTGACTTGCGGTGATCTGGACCGCCTGGCAGGGGGTGACAGAGATTCCCTGTCCCGAGGTCGAGGGGAAGGAGAGGGTCGTCTTGACCTCTTCCATCGGTTTTCTTCTGAGGGGGATCTCCTCATTGAACGGGAGACTGGTGACCTGTCACGTCTTGATGTTTCCCTCTGTGTGGGTCGGTCAACAGGTGAGCGCCCACGGCCCATTGGTGGAGAAGACCTCCTGCGTGATGACCCGTCTCTTTCCCTTGGGGGTGGGGATGACCTTGTACGTTCCTTAGGGGGTGGGGATGACCTCCTACGTGATGACCCTTCCCGATCCTTTGGGGGTGGGGATGGTCTTCTATCTGGTACGCTGGAGTCAGAACTCTCACTTTCGCTGTCGTCTGATTCATCTCTCGGGGGAAGTTTTTTCCTTGGTTCAGGGGATGGTCGAGTTTCTCTCTTTGAGCTTCCTACAGGTCTCTTGCCTTCTCTTTCCCTGCCACGCATTCCCGGATCTTCACGTTGTATGCGAGATTTTAACTGAGCACCTTCCCTTTGTTGTTTTCTTGGAGGTGGTGATGGTGTTCCTGACTCCGAGTCAGAATCTTCACTTTCCTCTGGTTCTTTCTTGACTCGCTCCTTCCTGCCGACTGGAGACTGTTTACGTTTTCTGGCCGGTTCTGGTTTCAGCCTGTCCACCTGTTTTCTCTCCGAGGAAAGCTCCTTCACTCTTTTCTGTTTTGGAGATGATGCTTCACTAGATTCAGATTCTGACTCTGAAGACAAACTTTCACTCTCCTTTCTCTCCTTGCCAGGTGACCTCCTGACCTCAGGTGACCTCTCACGACCTTTCCTGACCTCAGATGACCTCTCACGACCCTTCCTGACTTCTGGTGACCTCTCACGACCTTTACGTTGTCTGACATCAGATTTACTTGACAAGGGCTCCCTTCTCTGCTGTGAATCCTCTCTGGCACTGCGCCAACCTTCAGGTGACCTTGAATCTCTTCTTGATGACCCACCAGGCTCCAGTCGTCTTGGAGGCGACCCTAGAGATTCCCTTCGTCTAGGGGGTGACCCCTCCGAGTCCATACGTCGTCTGTAGGGAGGGGAATCATGGGAATCCAACCTGCGTCGTGGGGACATGTTTCTGGGAGGGGATCGCTGTCGTCTGGATGGTGATCCCCAGCGCTGGGGAGGAGAGTAGCCCCGGGAATAACCATCTCTCCGGAACGGGCTCCTGGAAATAAAGAAAACATTGGAATCAGAGACACAAAATTACAAACAGTGAATTCTTTATCCTGCTGAATTGAAACAAATAATATATCAATTCCGAATTTATTCATGCTGAAAGTAACCTAGTGGATTTTGAGAGGAATAGAAAATGGGAAGCTACATACATAAATGCCTGACACTCTCTAACCAATAAGATCACTTCAGTATTCAAGGTATTCTCACCCTCACATCAATATTCAAGGTATTCTTACCCTCACACCAATATTTAAGGCATTCTCACCCTCACACTTATATTCAAGGTATTCTTACCCTTACACTTATATTTAAGGTATTCTTACCCTCACACCAATATTTAAGGTATTCTTACCCTCACACCAATATTTAAGGCATTCTCACCCTCACACTTATATTCAATATTTACACTTATATTTATATTCTTACCCTCACACCAATATTTAAGGTATTCTTACCCTCACACCAATATTTAAAGTATTCTCACCTTCTATTGTCGTAATATGGGGATGATCGTCTTCTGGGTCGCCTTGGTGATATATAGCGAGGTGAAGGTCGTCTGTATCGGACTGGACTAAATCGGCTGGGTGGAGGGGAGTATCTGAAACAGTTATACAATGATACATATAGGCAGACTTCTCTATACAGAGGTAGAATTAATTATATAGATATACATACTGACTTTAACATCTACATATATAATACAGAAATATCCGTCCATACAGATTTAAAGACAATCAATGTTTTAATATTTTTAACTTATCTAATCTTTCCCAAGTGAAATTTTTCATGTTAACATACAGGGTCTCCTTAGGGTAAAGGATTTTTTTTTCATCAGACACCAGTACATTTATCTGATTATTCTGACTTATGCGACACAACCCTTACACCTACCTCCTGCGTCCCACTGGGGAATATCTACGATCTCGTCCACGGGGGGACAATGGACTCCTACCTCTGTCTGGTCTCTTTCTCTCTAGAAAAACAAAGTGATCCATATAAATAAGTACTGGGACAGGAACATGTAATTATAGTACCTGGACACATTACTAAAGAATCAGAGGACAGTTTCAATCATACTATTAAGACAGTTTTAAAATAATTTAATTGAAAGACTGAAATGTTTAACAGTTATTTTATAAACCAACTACTCTATTCAGTTCACTAGTATTTTATATGACCGGACCACTCATTTAGTAGATTAAGTCAGTCGGGACGTGCTTTATTGTCAAATCCTTCACATGAAAAACATGGATACATGTAAATCTAGGATACGTAATGATGTATCATCACCTGGAGAGGCCTCGCTATCTGAAGACGAGGAGGACCCGCTGGACTCGACGTCATGTTTTCGGTATTGTCTCCTCTTCTGTACACCCCCCTTATCTGGAGAACTATCAGATCCACTCCTCTCTCCTTCCTGTCAGAATTTACACAGAGGTTAGGAAAGACATCAAGGTAAACGAGAGGCCCATGGGCCTTATAGGTCACCTGAGCATCATGCAACAACTTTCAAATGATTGAATTTGGTTCATGTTTTAAGCTAGATGCTATGGCATTCACAATTTTGAAAGAGGCACCATTGCTAATCATAACTATACACTTAGCAATTGTTTAGTTTGTTTACTTAATACCCATAAGCAGAGTAGGGAACCAAAAATGTAGGTCAACTAATCAGTAATATTCAGCAATAATCAGGAGTGCTCCTACCACAAATGAACCCCTGACCCTAGGTCTACACATTGCACAATTTTTGAAAAGGCACGCTTGCTTATCAAAAATGTTTGATTAATACCAAGGAGCAGATTTCAAACAATTCATTTTCAGTATATAAGTAGAGCCCCCCCCCCCCCCTTCCATTTTGGTATCCCTGACCCAGGGGCCTTGAAATTCACAATTCTGGAAGAAAAGCCAATCATAACTATATAAATAGTTCATCTGCTTATTACCCAGGAGTAGATAAAAAGATTTTCATAGATGTAATGTATTTTCACTATATAATCATTATAGAGCCACACCCTAACACCATAACCCCTGACCCTGGGGATATAAAATTCAAAATTTTGGTAGAAGCATTCTTGCTCATCATAAATATGTTCTTAATTAGGTAATGTAATACTCAGAAGCAGAGAAGAAGCTTTCAAAGAATAAATGCATTTTCACTATAAAATCAATAGAGCCCCGCCTTAACACCAGAACCCCTGACCCTGTGGCCATAAAATTTATAATTTTGGTAGAGGCACTCTTGCTCATCATAACTATGAACTAAATTAGTTTATTTAATACCCATGAGCAGAGAAGAAGATTTTCAAAGAATTAATGCATTTTCACTATAAAATCAATAGAGCCCCGCCCTAACACCAGAACCCCTGACCCTGGGGCAATGAATTTCACAATTTTGGTAGAGGACTCAATGCTGATTACAATCATACCAACAGTTTGACTGCTTGATGTCCTGGAGTAAAGAAGAAGTTTTTCAAAGATTGCAATAATTTTAGTGGTTTTTGCCCCACCCCCCAGGCCCCAGGGGGGCAGGGACCACGAAATTCACAATTTTTGTTCCCCTTCACCCATAGATGCTATATGCCAAAATTGGTTGAAATTGGTTCAGCAGTTTCAGAGAAGAAGCTAAAAATGTTTAAATGTTAACGCACGACGATGGATAAAACAAAATTACATACAGCTGACTGAAAATATTTATCTGGGAAGCTTGTTTAAATGTGATGGAGTATGAAACTTCACTGAAAATGTTAATCATGGACCATTGGTTTAAAGCTGAACATGACATGGTTATACTTAATCATAAACCAATGGTTAAAAGAAATGGCGTCTAAGAAAATACTCAAGACAAAGAGAGTGTCATTGTTAACCATGTATGACAAAGACAAAGTAAACTTCCCGTACCTTTGTTATTTTCTTCGTATTTGAAGGCGATGGTGACCTAGAACTGCCAGAACTGCTAGAGGATCGGGAACTGTAAACCAATCAGTAACATTATACAGAAGTCACTAAAAATAGCTCAGTAATATCGTACAGTACAACATGAGGAATCTACAATTATATACAGTAAAACAGTATATGTCTGGAATGTCATACATTACAACATTATAATTCCATCAGAAATATTTCTCAATATTTACATTTGTTTATGTCTTTCATACAATGATATCATATTTCTGTATTAATTTCAAACAGTTCAACATTATAAGTCAGTTAATTGTACCCTATTGTGAGGAAACTTCGACTTAAACCTAGTAGACTAAATCAAAAACTACAAGTATCAAAGGACAAAACTTAAGTGTTCACAACCTGAGCGAAGTCTGAAATGAAGGACAATAAAAAGAACATTGGCTGACTGACCTTGACTTCTGCCCTCGTTTCTTGGGACTTCGTTCAGCTGATCGACGCGGCTTTGCTGGACTCCTGCGTCGTGGTGATACACTTCTTCGCCGTGGTGATGACCTCCTGCGTGGGGAGGGTCGTCTGAATCGTCGCGGAGAACTGCGCCGTCTGTTCCAGGACCGACTCCTTGACCTTCGTCTGGCGGGGGAGCGACGTCGTGATCTTAAAATAGAACACAACAATGAGTCATTTAATTTTACATTTCAAGTTTCTGTTATACATTGGTTGAGATTTTTTAATTACATTTTTTTTAATTGAATAGTCTTATGGCTGATCTGGATTAGAAATCATTTATCTGCACCAAAAAATGTTCTTGGTTTGCTTACCACTGGTTTTCTATAAATACCAGCTGATAATGATAAAATCTTTTCCAGAAAATTAAAATTTTCTTGCTCCTGAATGGAGAATATACTGTTTGCAAGATAAAAGCTATTCTCTGAAATTTCCTGCTGTCACTTAGAGAGCTTGACACTGTAGGTATATAGGATATTTATAATACTCCATCCCCTATGGTGTTCAGATCTTTTATCATTAATTATTACAGAGGCAGACTTTAACTATTGCTTCAACTCATCAAGGGGTTTTTATACAACCAAATTCATACATGTTAACTCTTTTAACAATTATTATCATCTCCCGCCTACCGATTTAATATAAATCTACCGCTTTTAACACAGCTGCCTCTAAAGTATTTTTGGTTCGATGGGTATCCATTTTTAAGCCACTCTCATAAAATCTCGCTAGATATCGCGTGATTTGACTCGGAATCATACAAACGCTTTTTTTGTACATAGATTTCAAGCACGGATTTGACAACGACAACAACATAAGACTTCCAGTGATTACATTGGTTACGAAAAATTAATCAACATCCCTGCCATGAAAAAATTACAGCTTTTAAGAATGAGATGAAAACATTTGACATCGTCTTTAAAAGCAATATAACAACTTTATCAATAAAGTCAATAGAAATCACTTGATTGACCAAGCCATGTGGCACATCTCTACTTTCGTTTTCGATCATCGCAGGAAATCTGATTTATATTATGAAAGATACGAACTTGTTTTAGAATAATTAAACCATGCCATCATTTGTTTTGTTTAAAAACTGAATGAACATTCAGAATTATTGCTTCTAGGCTATTTCAGCAAAGATCACTCTTCAAAAGGCTAAGTAAAGCAGCCAATCCAAGCAAAATGATGAGCATGACAAATATTTGAATTTGTACAATTTATGTCAAACTTAAGGTGTTTCTGTCTTCTTCTTTGCTGTTGATATTTAAGATTAATTAGTGTAGGTACCTGATTTCATTTAAGGCTTATAATATACATGTATATTCCACAAAGATATCGATAATCCAAGCGTTAAACAACACGCACTATATATACCGCTTTTGAGGTCTGAATCTCCCTCTTTTTCATCACAGTAGGTTAACATGTATGCCAAATTTGCTATGTTCTTTTAACAATTATTATCATTAACTAATAATATAAATCTAATTGTAACACATCATTAGATTTGGTTAAAGATTTCTATTTGTATAACATAACTTGCCTACGCCACAGAGAGTTACGTCAAAATTATCTTACTCCAATTGACGTTACATTTAAAATATGCTAAATTTGAAGCCTTTTTCCAGAGGAAAAATTATCTCATTGTCTCCACTGAAATTAAATTATAAGGAATGAAGCTTATTTCAACTTATGTTATACAATATAACATAATTTGGGGCAGTAAATGATTTTTTATAAACCGCTTGCTTAAAGTAAGATTGATTATGCAAGGTTTCCCATATTTCACCAATCTTACATAAATAATTTAATACAAGATAGTATTGTTGAACTGCGTCTTCTTACCTTGACCTAGATCTGCGTCGGCGACGGTCAGCAGAGCGACTCCTATGACGACTGTGTGACCTACTTCTAGATCGACTGGAGGACTTTTTCTTCTGCTCTTCCTTGTCTGTCTTTACCTCCTTCTTTTCTTCTGTCCCATTCTGATTTACCACATCGTTACCACTATAAGACGGTAAAAATACGACTATATATACGGTCACGGATCAAAGATGCTTAGAATTAAGAAACCACAAGGCAGAAAATCAAAGGCCTGAAGGGCCTGCAAGTTGACTAGCTCTTGAGAGTCAATTGAGCTTTTTCATACATCTGGGCACCATACCTTAATATATTCAGTTTATATTGCATCTTAAGAGATTGTTATATGTCTGTCCATGTGTTCATAAATAAATGTATATTGCTTTTCCTTTATATATACAGGTTGGCACTAATGGGCTTCTGTATTATTTTGACTGGATTCTATAATGAATTTCAGCACATTAGCTGAAGTGGTCAGTGTTATGGGATAATTAGGTTAAAGATTCCCACAGCAAATCTTGATTCTAAAAATAGATTTTCAACAACAACTAGCTGCAGCTAATGAGAGCAGCAGGTGTTTGTGTTAAACACAACAAACGGTAATTACAATTCAGATGGGAAGAGAATATTTTTGCCTAACATGCAAAAACATATATTGAACCATTAATTTACATTACAGGTTTGTAATCAAAAATTTCTTTAAAAGCATGAAGGCATAAATAACGTTACAGTATGAAATTTTATACAGTTTTTACCTCTTAAGTTTATACAATCACTCAAACCAAAGCATTTTTTGCCAGAACTATTATAAAAAACCTTGATGAATGTGTGTTAAATTTTACAGCTCTGAAACGGCTATGTCGACAGGGAGTAGCTTGCAATTCAAAAAGCCACGTAACTATTTAGGTGAGAATGATCTTACTAAGTTTTGACCCCTGTAGAGGATTCGTCATGTTTCTGGCATGATGTATACATGTGTTAGTGAGGTGACCTATATATATATATATGGATATATTTTGAAGTGGTGACCTCTATATATATAGATGTGGTGACCTTACTTGGTTTTGACCTCTGTGGAGGACTCGTCAGGTTTCTGGGGAGATCCTGACTTCCTGTCGGGGGTCGGACTCTTCTCTTTCTTCGGAGATTTTGTCGGGGAGGGCTCTCTTTTTCTCTTGGGACTCTTACTTCTAGATCTTGACCTCCTTAAAAATCAGAAGTATTCATCTTTAAGTCATTTCTCTTTGTTTAATTATGTCACCCTATACCCTATCTCCCTCTCTCTATCTCAGTGTTAACCTTCCCCTGCTCTTTTTTCCTTCTGTCTCTCTTCCCCTTTTACTCCCTCTCATCTCTCTACTTTGTTTACCTTCTCTTTCCCCCTCTCTCTTTTTCCTCCCTTCTCTCTCTCTTTCTTTCTCTGCAGTGTGTACCGTCCCTGCCTCTTCTCCTGCTCTTTTACCTTCTCTCTTTCTTTCTCCCCTCTCTCTCTTCCCCCCTTTCTCTCTCTCTCTCTTTCTCTGCATTGCTTACCTTCTCTGCCTCTTTTCCTGCTCTTTTACCTTCTCTTCTCCCCTTTCTCTCTCTCTCTCTTCACCCCATCTCATCTCTCTACTTTGTTTACCTTCTCTTTCCCCCCTTTCTCTCTCTCTTCACCCCTATCTCATCTCTCTACTTTGTTTACCTTCTCTTTCTCTCTTTCCTCCCTTTCCCTCTCTCTTTTTCCTCCCCTCTCTCTCTCTCTTAACCCCATCTCATCTCTCTACTTTGTTTACCTTCTCTCTCTCTTTCCCCCTCTTTCTTTTTCCTCCCCTCTCTCTATCTCTTTCTCTGTATTGCTTACCTTCTCTGCCTCTTCTCCTGCTCCTCTTGTTCACGTAGAGTCTCACGAATCTGTTCCTCGTGTTTCTTTAAGTTTGCCTGAATCCTTTCCTGCTCCGCCTGCAATATTCAATGAAATATTTATTTTCAAAGATTCAGTTTAATTGCTAAAAGTTGAAGAGAAAACCAGGAAAATGAAATCATCCCCCCCCTCAAAACTTTTCCATAATACAATGGAATCCTAAATGTATCTTGAAATAAATATTCACATCCAACACACATTTTCCTTGTAAAATGTGAGAAATCTTAGACATTCAAAATACCATGAAACATAAAGGGGGTAAAAGAATATAAAGCATATTTTGGTGTCAGAAATGCTGAACGCCAAGGAAGTGCAACGTCATAAGCGAAAATCAATAATCACGCTCACATTGAACAGTTTTTACAATGGCTCTTTCGTTGACTGTAGCTTACACAAAGGATGATACATGGGTTTTTTGCCTGACCTTTTTTCGTTTGATTTCCTCCTTCTTCTGCTCTACAAACTTGGCGGGGATGCCCCCGATGTTTTCCTGAGCGCTACACAGGTGTTCCCAGAGTTCTCCCAGGAAAATTCGCGCGTTCTTCGGGTTCAGGAATCCCGTCAGGTTGATCTGCATTTCCTTCGGGTCGGGGAACTGTAAAGACAGGGGAAGTAACCACATCAACAGCTATACAGACATGGGGCTTGACTGGCGTAAGCCAGAATGTACTTACCCTAGGTAACTTTTAACCAAACCTATATCACAGTTTTGTATAACACACAGTATTACAAACCTTCCTTTTAATAAACTTTTAGATATATTCATATGTCATCCTTTTCATACTTTGCTAATGTTCAAAAAGATAAAAAAAACTTCAAAATACTTTCCAAGTTCTGATTTTCAAGTTCCACTAAATTTTACACCAGGCAGAGGAACTTGATGAATTTGCTTTTCACAAAATTACAATACAAACAACAAATACATATAGCTCAAAACAAACTGGGAAACATGTAACCCTAGTTTGGCGTAATTTGCAATGATTTGGGACTCCACGGAGACAGGCTGACCAATGACCCTTCAGTTGACATTTCCGTCTATTAAAACATCCTCGTAAGGTGGAAAATTCCATCACTTCCGTCTTCCAATTGCTGATTTTCTTCCTTGATAATCCAAGTCTCTGAAACGTTTATATGTATACACAGTACAGCCCCCTCAGCAAGCGTCCATCTAACACTGATGTGCTGGAATAAAAAGTCACCCATAAGCCTTCATATTCAGGAGTGGCCATGGAGGTTTATTTCACGTCTTACATTTTGATTTTATCACCATTATATATAATTTAAGAGTGTTTTTTTCCTAGTCTCTCTCTCTTTTATCTTTTTTTAAATCTAACCTCTATCCTCTTCTTTTCCTGGTCACAAGGGTTTCCACCCAACACAAAACGCTGCAGTAGTTATTCATTAAATGAAACAACACCCCCCCCCCACTCCCTCACATTTGCATCCCGAAATTCTACCTATTCTTACTTTTAATCCCTTTAAAATGTTCTTTTGAAATCAATACATGTAACTTTAAATCCACCTGACCCTGTTTAATTTTTATCCCAAAAAAAGATATATTGTATACAATATCACAAACACAATTCCTTTCTCAGTTTTTAAAAGAGATGTCATGTCAGATTTTGCTGAAGTTATATCTGAAATATTTCCAAAGGGGTACAACTCTATCTGGATAGCTGTACTACACAGAGTTATCTGCCCATGATGAGAAGTGAGGCATACTTAACTTGTGTCAGACAAACTTGACGGCGCTCCTCCTGTATAGAATTTTAATGTCGACTTTATCCTCCTGTTTACAATTATAATGTCGGCTTTATGATGGAGGGACAGAGAATCAAAGCTGTGTCAGTGGAAGGAATAATCAAAAGTGTAAGTCAGCCAATCAAATTCAACATACATGTCATCCAATCAAATTCAAATATTTTCATCCAATCAAATTCAAATATTTTCATCCAATCAAAATTAAATATTTTCATTCAAATTTTCATTGAATCATTTCATACAATTGAATTTACTGTGAATGTAGAAAATGTCTGCTCTGAAGGATTTTATAACATTCCTTGGCAAAAGTAATGTTATTTGTAATAAATTTCTTAAGATTTGGATTGCCATATCTTTCGATTACAACATATTTTATAACAGAAGCCAGACAGTTTCACAGACACCAAGTTGTCTGAGAATATCAATAAACAAATACATATTCATATTTTTACCATAAAATCTAATATATCATAAGAGATAAAAGCTTCAGAAAAGCATACTTAGTAAAATCTCTTTCGTGCTTTAAAACTTCACCAACAAACCAATTCAAAACCTGCTTGAAATATTACATTTTTTTTTGCTTGCCATATTACGATAGAAATGTTAGAAAAGTTTTACCCTGGGCTCTAACTGGTTGTAGACAAATTCTACAAGGACGTCGTCTTCGATGCCCAGCAGTTCTGTGATTCTCTGAGCTATCCAGGGCTTGATCGTGTCCAAGTTAACTTTAGACATGTCAACCTGTAAAGGCAATTCAATTAACATTTACATTGTAATTCAGGCTACAACACAAAAGTAAGACCACAGTTCTTTACCGGAACATGAATATGGTCACAATAATCACTTTCTTTTCCATGACAACAGAGATGTTACTATTAATATGTAACATGGCAAGAGAAATAACTCTAGTTCATATATATATTAACTTATCTCCCCTTATCTTAAGGAGCTAGATCCTCTTCATGCAAAATTCAGTTTTAGTTTATAAATGCTGAATAAAAACACACGTTTAGCAAGTACATGCTCTAAAATTATTTTCTAGATTGCCTGATTTAGAAGCTTCTTAAATTCTCATTTTAAAAATGGCCCCTTCTTATTAAAATTAAACAACATGGTCTGGTGATGATGATTTGTTATTTTTCTGATTTCTAGAACCACAGAAACAAACCTTTTGTTCCAGTCCATCGTTGAACTTCATGGACTTCATTAATTTTTTCTTTTTGTCGCTGAACCGATTGTCCTGGTCGGCTGTCGTGCCCTACAAATACAGTCAGACATCAGATTGATTACCCACACCCGAATGTCACCATTTCACATAGACGCACCTAATGTCACCTGCAGTTTGAAGAGTCTAATCAAAATTAAAACTGAATAAGTATCAAGTATCTGTGCTTGCCCTAACAGCTGCATCCCCAGCTTATTAATGCTTCTTTGAGAATAACTTTGCTTTTAGTTTAGGTCTTACCAGCTCCCAAGAAAACATGCTTAAATGTAGTGTCGCTGAAGGCAACTTCAATATCAATGTAATCATGTGATCAACTCATGTCCGTAAGTTTAAAGTAAAAATTGTTATGACTAGCAAACTTTGTAAGGTACTAGTCCTTAAAAAATGAAATTTATGAAAAAAGAATTTTATTGTTTATTTGTTGAAAAAATTGACAAAAGATATTTATCAACGAAGCGTGTGTGGCGCATGTCTAAGGGCAATAAAGTGAAACAAAACACGAAACCTCGATAAAGCGTTTTCAAAAACATTGTGATCACATAAGGGAGGACAAAGACGTGACCATACAGGTTAGATTTCTACGAAAGTTGAAAACAACATTTTGATATTTATTTACATCCACATGCTTCCACCTGATGTGTGGACACATATATCTCATTGAATTTATTGATAAAATTTTAATCTTGATTTGTATTATTCTTTTTATATATTATATTGCGGACTTAGAATAGTTTGCGGAACAGGTGGAAGCCCATATGGTAGCAATGTCCATGACTTTTAAGGTGCAAAAAAAGTTTTTTATGTCCATTGTGTACAGTATGACCACTGTCAATGTAATCATGTGATCAATCATATAAGAGTTTAAAGTACAAGGTTTTATGCCTTTTTAGTTTTAAACGATTTATTTAGAACTTCACTTAAAAAATGAAATTTATGAAAAAAGAATTTTAAAACAATTTGTAGAATATAAGGCCCTAGGTACCAGTTTGTTAATTTTACCTGAAATTTATCAACTTTCCAGTGATTATATTTGCCACTTTTAACACAAAAGAAAATGAAACACACACAAATTTTGCAAGAGGCACCATTGCGAATTTTTATCAAAGGGCAGATATCAAAACATTAATTCATTTTTTTGCAATAAAATGTATGTAAAATGTGTCTTGTGTTTTTATTTTTTACCTGAGACTGTTTGTTTATTCAGCCAGACTGTTATCACAGTCATGACACGTGAGAAATTATCTATTTTGAACACACTGTGTACAGGTAAACTAGTAGAGACAATAGCATGAATAAGGCCAGCATTTTTTATGTTTAGATTTGGTCAATTAATGGAACATGTACCCATTATGTTTATCGTCTTCAAATTAGGAGAAGGAAATAAAATTTTTTTTGATAAATCGATTATTAACATTGGTACTTGTTGATAAAAACATTTTAATTGAGATGTATTTGTCTTTACTTTTTGAAGATAGGCGAATATTTTATAAACACATAAGTGGTGGCTACAAATAGTACATAGCAATTTACATTAATAATTTCTTAGTTTATCACGTACCAGTTAAAAACGCCATGCCAATTACATAAATTTTGTGCATTTGTTGATCAAAATATATTTCAAAATATCTTCATTTCTTTAATATGTGTTATATGAAATTGTCCATGTTTGGCTTTACTTAAAATTTACTTGATGCCTAAAATTATAATTCCTATCAAAACCTTCTACACCAAAACAGTAAATTTAACAGTTGGAAATTTAATAGGGACTGGTTAAGATATGATTCCAAATTGGGCATGATGTTTTGTGACATTGTATTTCGGCCAATGTAAAATAATTTTTCTGAGGTTACAAGCATTACAAATGAATACGTATATGAACAGGTGTATATATTTGTAAAATAAATTGATTTTTTTTAATATAAAGATTTTTTTTAATTCTACATATATAATTTACCAACAATTTTTTAAAAGATTTTTTTTCTATATTCTACATATATAATTTAGAATCAAAGGATAAATAAATAATAAAAAAAAAAAAACACAATAAACCTTATTCTACATAAAATACTAAATTTTTTTCTTTTCTATTAATTAGGTGACAATAGTCACTCTGCAATATGCAAAAGCAAATCTGCTGAAAACACGGGCACTTACAAAATGCCCTCTCCAAGAGGAAAATGCAATTATACAGTTACTTTGCTGAAATGAATACATAATTATCTTCCCATCATGTCAATTTGTGCAACAAAGTAGTAAGCATTTTCATTTTCTTTTCAAAAATTAAACGTAAATTTGTATCAATCTGAATCTTCAATTAAAATTTTACACTTAAATTTAAGCAAAACTAATTTTTTGTTTATTATTTTTAGGGAAGTGCGAGCTTCGTAAATTTGAAATGTTGATTCCCATACAAATTGAGAGTAATAGCAGTGAAGGAAAAAAAGTGTTTTATGTGATTTTTTTCGTAGAACATTCAAAACTGTATTCAGTGTAATGTTAGATGAGTCTACAGAAAAAAAATCCTGGCCTTAAATTTGTAATTAGATCATTAGCATATTAACCTGGGGCAAAGGTCAGTTGCAAATGCAGAGGCAATTTCTTCAGAGTTGATAGGTTTGCTTAAGGATAAGGGATTAGACTTGGATAGGTTAGCTGCTCCTGTCAGCACTGCAGACTGTGAACGAGGTTTCAGCCGGCAAAACCTAATCAAGACTGATGTGAGAAACTCCATAAAATTCACAATTTTGAAAACCTTAGAGGCACACTCCAGCAAATCATAAAATGAACTTAATTTGTTTATTTAATAAAGGAGCAAATCCAGGAAGATTTCTCAAAGAACTTTCAGTGACTGTGATTTTGATGTGAAGTATACAGTCTAATAGACTAGTGCTCCCAACATCTTTTAAGGGAATGACAGTGCTGTGACTTGTATGCTGGTGCATAAACTTTCACAATTTTGTGTAAATGTAGTGCTTTATTTATGATGTTATAAAATGCATACCACTGTATCTGTTACATGTATGATATTTATTTAATATCCAGGATCCACAGAAAAATATTATAAAACATGCAACTTGTTATTTTTTCAGGAATATTGTGGTTGGATATAGCACTATAACCCCTGAAACATAGGGCCATGATTAAAATGACCACAATTTTGAATGTTATAGTAGATATGATATGATATATGGCACAATAAAAATGAATACAGTTTGTATATGTTGGCATGATCAAGAATGATTTTAAATATTGCATTAATTTTAGTGGTTTTGGCCCCAAGTGGCGAAAAAGATTTTTAGTCCAGTGGGAGCCCTGGACACAGATTGTGAAATGCAAGATTTGTCTTCCTTTGTTTTCCTAGATTTTTGCCAAATTTGGTTGAAATTGGTTGCTGTGTTTCACTTAGAAGAAATGAAAATGTTCAAAGTATGATTATAAATGAACATTTGACACACTGTTTTCTTCACACAAAGTAAGTCAATCGGATAGAAATTAGGTCACTTTGAGATGAACCCTACTTTTGTTTTCGGTGACCTAACGAAATTTCATTAAAATGCTTATTTTATCAAAAACAAGTGTGTAACATGTCTAAGGGCAATAAAGTGAAACAAAACATCAAAATGCCATCAAAACTAATTATTTCAAAAACAGACATAATCACATAAGGGAGGTCACATAAGCGCAACGACTCATGGACTTCCGAGGATAAATACAGGTTACTTTGTAATTCTATGTCAAGTTGGGTGCTCGCAACAGCACAACATTTTGATATTTATTTACATCTCTTTTTTGCCATGAGACGACGCGACTGTACGTTGATGAGTATTTCATTGAAAAAACTGAAGTAAAATAAATAATCTTGACTTATTATTTTCAGTTTTGAAGATTATCAATTTGTTGACTTCCAAGAACCGCTTTAACCGGCCCCAAGAACAGGTTGGGACCAATGGCCCATATGGGATATAATATCCCAAATGGGCTATAAACATGATAAATTTACAGTGCAAAAATTGAAAATTTTTATTTCGGCAATATATATATCATAATTCCGCATCAAAACACTGAAGAAAGGAATAACTCTTGGTAAGCAAGTTTTTCTGCAACCATACTGTTTTTGAGATTGATCCCCAAGAAGTTAAGGAACTTCCGAGCGATCAATCTCCTAAACAATGGGCATACAGAAAAACTCGTCAACCAAAAGATATTCCTTTTTAAGTGTGATATTTATTGCCAAAATAAAAATTTTCAATTTTTGCACTGTAATTTTATAGCCCATTTGGGATATTATATCCCAAATGGGCTATTATATCCTATTTGGGCGATTGGTCCCAACCTGCAGAAAGGAAATCCTGTAGGATATTTGATCTGCTAGTTGCTTTAATGGCACCCATTTTCCATAAAATATAATGACACTGTGTATGCATACGATTAAATTCAACTTGTTGCTTAAATATTTGCTGCAGTTAATCAATCAAAAAGTAAAAAACCTTAAAAAACCCTGCATCAGTCATCTTCCACGCTCCAAAATGGCCACCGACTATAACCCACAATGCACTTCACCGGTAGTTCCTAGACCACGTGTGCACTTTCATTTTCGATGACGACGCAGAATGGGTAGAACAGTTGTAGCAGATGAGCAGTCACAGAACTATATATACGAGGTTCTAAAGACTGGAAAATGGGGTATAGGCTTGATTATTGGACAGATGACGTCACAGAAGGACTTTGCCGTGAAATTGATCCGCACACCGGAACCAGCAGAAGATGAATGCAGCGAAGAGCAAGAATCGGCAACCCCATCAAAAAAGAGGAGAAAAAGTAAACCCGAGAGTCTCGCCAGCATTGATGAACAGTGGATTGCATTGCACGCGAAACAGGTCACGCGAATGTTGCTGGGAGGTATTGACGTAATTGGACTGTTTGTTGTAGCTCCCCCCAAAATGATGCAAGCAGCTCAAGCTAAACTGAGACAGATTCTGTTTGCCATACAAAAAGTTCTGAAAAGGACATTTCCAATGGAGGATGACAATAACATCACTGAGCGAATTCTTCTTCAGGTTTGTTCAGAAACCAAAAAATACACTTGTCGTTCGCTGGACGTATCCAACCCTAAAAGCGACCTACGACCCGCGGAATGGAAAGTGCAGACAACGGGTGAAAGCTGGTGCAAGCTCCAGTCCTGTGTCAGTGTGAACATCCACATTCACATCCCTAAGAAAAACCAAGATCAGATGTTCTTTAAGCGGATTCAGAGTGCCATCTTGCCGTATTGTCAGCGTATTCGAGACGGCGTGGTTCTAATCGACAACCAGTTACGCGTCGGTCAGGACTTATTAGATCCTCCCCAGCTTGAGGGGCGGAGGAGCAAGACCAAGGAACGAAACGCAGTCACAAAGAGGCTGAAGGAGGTAACGTTCCTGACCCAACTAGAATCGAGTATTGCTACGGCTCCAATCATTGAAGATTGCTGTTCACGCATGACCATCAAAGGCTGTATTAATTGTCGAGCTTTTGTTCACTCAAAGTCAACTGTAGACGAAGCAACACGTGCCATAAAATCTGACTTTATCCGGAGTTTGATCAGCCGTTGCGAGTTACTCAGTGAAGATATTGATGTAGTGGAAGAGGACACCAGTGTTAAAGAACTTTATGATACCCCAATTAGAGTGTTCGGAAGCTTGCCATCATCACCCATTGAATTCTGTGACTATGTATTTCAGGATGAAAAAATTGAAGAAGTTATTGAGAGAATAAAAGAATTGCTGGATGTTTCGGTTACAGAGGATGACCTAGATTTATCGAGTGAAAAAGTGGCCACAGAAGACGATTGGTCAAAAGCCAAGAATTCTCAAGAAGAAAAGTTAACAAGTGAGGTGGAGTCGGGGGCCCACATACGGGATATTCCCATCGGGGCCATCCTAGGGGTGATAGTGTTGATTCTAGCTGTTGTGTTGTATACAGTTATTTCCTAAGACGTCAATCTTCAATATCATTGTTTAATACAACTGGGAACCATAATTGTTTTAAATCTTGGCATATTTTGATCATTTATTTTTCAGCATTGAAATTAAAAGTGATTAAATGTGTCATAATAGAAGGGTTTGATTTTATTGCAGCAGTTAATTATAATGAATTCACCATGCCAGAATTTAACAAAACTATAGGGCCTAATGCAAGATGCTGATGCTATGGTACAATATATATTAACCCAGGCTCTCTCCCTCCCCCTGCCATACATTTCTTTCCATTTACAAATTAAAATATCAGAGAAATTTTCTCTATTACATGTATGATTAATGATGGGAGTTGCCTCCCATTGCACAGTGTCTGAGTGATTAGGGCATTTGCTCTATAGACATGATAGAGATGTAGAGTTGACATGGTTGAGGAGTTAAATCCTTACATCGCAGGTTCAAATCCAAATACATGACCTTGGTGATAGGTACATTTAATTGAGATGAGGCAGAAAAAATTAAGGTTCTGTATTGCAATCATTGCTGGCATGAAATTGATTCCTCAGTGCTACTCTATGGCCCAGAGTGCTAAAGATACATGTAGGTCTAAAATTTGCAGCCCTCCATAAGCAAGTTCTGGCATCCTAATATGAGGGAAAATTCTAGAAAACAACAATTTGAACAATCAACAGTGAAACTACAGTCAACTTTGACAGGATTTTAATGGCTTTGGGAATTTAATACTTAGTCCTTGTTGAATTGTTCACAAGCAGAAGTTTTATTCTGCTTAAAGACTCACATATAAATTATATAAAAATTTAATATAATTTCAAAATTAACAGTCAAGAAAATAAATGAATGGCCTGCAACATTCCTCTGAAGATTCAGCAAATTATTTTAATTCTATTTCCAGTGTTGGGCTGTTAATTGTCTCTTTTTCTTAAGCTTTAAATACATTGTATTTAAAACATTTGAAATGTTCTGTAATAAAATGGATCATGACTGGTCTTAAAATACATTTTGACGTACATTTTTATAAGTCTTGTAATTTGAAGATAACACCGATCCAATATTAGCTAGGGCTATTATATACCCCCAGCAATTAAGTCTTGAGTTGTAATGAGTTGGTCACCAAAAGCATATAAGGTATTGCAATGTAATCTATTACATTGTGCTGTCTGAAATAGAAGACTCGCTACTACATCAGTAGAAAATCTTGTAGTATCCTCATATACTGTTGAATATACTAGCAATATTTTGATCTGGAACTGTCCTTTGTTTTCAGTGTTTTTATTTATGCGAAAATAACAGATGAAAATTTACACCTGAAACATCAACCAGAAGGTTTGCATCATGACACACTGAAAAATCCAGATTAACTGTGTATGCAATTACAACCCTATATCTTTAGAAAAGTTAGGGTGCAGAAAGTCTGTACATTTCTTATTTAATTCTAAGTTCAAGAAGGATCACTGTCAAAAATAATTGAACCCTGACTAAATTCCAGCAGGATCTGCATATATATATTCCTATGAGGTATTCATAAGTCAGCCAAGCTTAATGATAAACAAAATCATTGATGACTTCAACTTTTCAATTGTCAGCTTTCCTAACTTGTGCAGCACTGCCAATATAACTTTATCACCAGCATTAAATTAATAATACATGGTCTAATTTATATCTCTTCGTAGATTTGATCCATAAGAACTTGCTCTTAAATGAAGCTTGTAGTTATTCACTTGACAAACAAGTTGATGAAACAAAGATATTGCGAATCTCGTATAAAGTCACCATTTTGGAAGTTTTTGATGTTGATGCAGAGACCTAATAATGTCAGTAAATACAACCCATTATTCAGTCAATTGCTGCAGCTTGACCTTTTGCATGCTAATTGTTAAACCATTATTTTTACTGAGTGTCTACATATGTCCAATTTCTAAAACAAGGTAAATTATTAACAAAGAAGTTGATGAAACAAGAATTTCAGCAGTCTCGTTTAAAGTCATCATTTTGGAAGTTCTTTGGTCGATACAAAATTTATCTTTGAGTCAAATGCTGACTGACATTTTTCATTCTAATTGTAAGTCCACTATTTATACACTGAATTGATGACAAATTTTTCCATTAAATCTCGATCATGACAAGGTCAGCACTCCTCCAATGTACCTGATTCCACCTCTGATGTTTTGGAGGTCACTGTTTGCCCTGCTCATGAGCTATATTGTTTAAATCAACCTTTGTGCTTGAATTCTTTTCGTCATCTCCATATATTTTCCTTTTAGAAGTATATTTTATACTTTCCAGTGATATGCATTCATCTTCATGTAATGGAAGATTTAAAATTCTTATCATAAATCAAATTGGAGATTGATTGATACAGAAAAAGCTGTAAGACTTGTGTTGTTTCTGTTGTTTATTTTTTGGTGACACTAATTATAACAATGTGATTGACAATAAATTATCAGATACATAATTCTAAAAATAGTAACAGCAACAATCACAATCATGTGATATCTGTAAATAGTAACATGATTACATCAAGTGATCCATATATAGGTCATGTGATCAGTAGTAAACATTGTATGGGGTGTGGTAAGACTTGTTTATTTAATATATAAGTTAATAATATGTCAACATAAATAGTCACTCTGCATCCTAGCTTCTCGTTTGTAACTTCCGTGTACAAAATCTGCTTTCTTGAGTTGAGATTCCACATTTTCTTCTTGTTTAGAATAAAGACCCAATCTGCAGGTTAAATTACAATTTTATCTCTCAACAAAAAAAAAATATTGACATATCAAATATAAAATACAAAATAGAACTCTCCAAAATATTAGCTCAAGCTTATACAGAAAATAAATTTATCAGTAATTTTCCACAACAAAAATTGTAGTAAAAAATTAATACAAAGAAATCAATTCATACAAAAGTATTTCATGATTGTAAATGGGGGACCATGTTATTAGAATTAATTCATTTGACAAATATAACTAGGGTAGTATAGCTAGACTATTGGAAACATGCCTGAATTTTTTTGACTTCCATGGTGCATGAATTCTACATAAGTTGGTATATATAAATTCACAACTGACTTTATGTAGATGTACAGTAATGTAAACAAACAGGTATATTAGACTACAGTTATATTACATTAGTTCACAATCAAGTCATGCTATATTGCACATCCCCTTGTTACAACACAAAATATGGTGTCACAATGGTAGAAATGTCTGGACATGAATTGGTATGAAATTAAAAAAAAAGTTTTAACAAAAAATTTAACTTTATGAAGATCAACCACATTATCAGTTGGAAGCAATTATAAAAGTTCAGGGAAAAATAATTCCAAGACAAGATTTGACTTTTCTTATGAGCATGTTTTTGAATTTCATTTTATTCTAGATTCTACAATAGGTTCATAGTACCGTTAATCAAAACTGGTCATGATCTGTCATTCAGTATGTTAAAAAAAATATTTATGCTCAATAACATACATTATACAATCATGACAAGAGCACACGGTGTAACAGGTCGCCAGGGGATGATTACTCCTCCAGGGCACCTGATCCCACCTCTGAAATTTCTAGAGGTCTGTTTTTTGATTTTATGCAATACTCACAAATACGTGTATGTATTGATTTTTGAGAATTATCTCTGTTTGTTTTCTTCAACTTTTAAATTATAACATGGAGACAATTTTCGGAAAGGTTGGGATAACTTCACATTCAGAAAACACAAAATGTTTGGTGCTGCAAAAATTCGTCAAGAAATATATGGTCACAATAGCATTCAAAAATCAATATTTTTTCCACAATTTCAATTTTTATTCAAAAGTGTTTAGCTTACCAAAACAAAAAAAAAAAAATGTGCAAAAAAAATTTCTAAATGGTGTTGACAACTGTAGACATACAGTCGCAGAAAAAGATGATCTCAATGATATGGGAGTTAAATTCATTCAATGCTTAACATGCCTGCCTGCTCATGCTCCCTCACCATATTAAAAATTTACATAAAAAACAGCAGTTCAATCTTGTACATGTTGTACTCTGTATATCATAAATATTAACCTAACTCTCTCTTATCTGAAAATAGTTATAACAGATAAAGATTTCCTGTAAATTCTATGTCTAAAACAAAATAACAAGCTGTTAGGGGGCACTACTCAAGTCTGAAGCAAAATAAACAATCAGGGGTTTTCTACTATATATTACTAAAATTACCTTCTTTGACAGGAGACTTACACAAGTGACTGTAATGACAAAATATCAGTTACATTTAGTAAGTCAAAAGCACATACACAAATCAAAAAAGATAAAAAAAAATCTATTGTGAAAGTAAAAATAAAATGTAAATATATTACATTTGGCTATGTATTCTACATTAATCTATTAACGCCTTCCATGGAAAGCAGCTTTCGTAAAATCAAGTACATCACATCATTTTCTGTCCATGTTAATGTAAAGCACATTTATAAAAAGCGCCAACTCAAATCTTGTTTAAAATTCAATTTCCACTGAACTTCGTTCATGCCAAATAAAATACATTTACAGTAAATAAAATGTAGCTTGATATTTTTGAGTTATAAATTAGAAACAAAAATATAAAAATGTTTAAAAAAAGTAAAACTGATTCGATGTCCTATGATTTAATATAAATTTTCTGATGAAATGAAAATTGGCCAATCAATGAAGCAATCATAACTGGCCAATCAATGAAGCTGTCATAACTGGCCAATCAATGAAGCTGTCATAACTGGCCTATCAATGAAGCTGTCATAACTGGCCAATCAATGAAGCTGTCATAACTGGCCAATCAATGAAGCTGTCGTTGGCTGATATGTTGGACTAATCTAAGTTGACTCTGCTTTTACTATGATATGGCATGCTCACTTATATCACATTTGGCACAAACTGACTTATTTGGCCACCAACTGTACAAAAACTGAAGCCTGTAATAACCCCCCCCCCCCCCCCCCCCCCCCCCCCCCGGCCCTTCTCATCAACCCAGAAGGTCAAAAGGGGAATAATACTTGAAAAAGTTTTAGCTTAAAAAGACAGATGAACTAATCTACTCTATCATCTTTCAAAAATATTGTATAAATTTCTTTGGCCCTTATCTTTTTAAAATTTAATGGCTATAAAGTTATCCCTTCTCTGCATACATTATGCATCTTAAAGCTTAAGGTTATGACCAAAACATTCACTTATTACAACTCTGTTCCTCCTAACTAATGATGGCTTTTAAAAAATCAGCAGTCTTTGTGTGGACCAATGTTTTTCTAATATATGTATTCATGCAGTACAAAAATAATTTTTTTTTAGTTTATAGATTTTTTAAAGATCTATATCCATGACCTTCAGGCTTGTTTCAATGACCCACTTCAAGGTCAAGACATAGACCTCTAAAAATGTATTCTGAGCATGATTTTCCAATCTTATTCCATTACAAAGCTTACACATAAAAACATAGTGACCTATACCTATGACTTAGGTAAAGGGGTCAGGACACACCCTCTGGTCACATTTAACTACTGTGTCAAAAAATGCCAGATACCTGTCAGGTAGAATATTTCTACATATTGATGAGAAAGACTGAGTATTCTTTTGACAATCTCAGATTAACAAAAAATTGGTTTAATGAAGCAGGCCACCCGAATATGTAAGGTTATTTAGGGTTAGGGTTAAGGTTCAAAGAGTTTAAAAGTTCACAATTTCATGTCATTTAAAAAAACAAACTAAAACAATAACATGGTCATAAGGATATGCTTCATGTAAAAAAATAGAAGCTGAAGGTTGGATAATAAATTCTCAAAGGGAGTTTCATAGTTGCCAACTCACCCGATTTCGTCGGGTCACACCCGATTTTTCAACCCGTAACCCGATTATTTTTGATGACCCGGCGGGTCATGCTTATCACCCGATTTTTGCCGAACAACCCGAAAATCTCCCGATTTCCGGATAAATTAGGTTGCACTTTTAACTTCCAGTTACAACCCAAGCTTAGATCTACGTAAACAATGCCGATGGATTAATTATCAGTGCAGGTGTAAACAATTAACTTGGTGTTGTTTTGACAAATCAATGTTTGAAGTCAATTAAAATGGCTTCCGATAGAACTAGATCGTTATCAGGGCCAACAGGAACAAACTGAACCAAACACATGTCTCTGATTGAACCAAGAAAAAGAGAAACGATATTTATGTACATATCAAGGAATCTTGGCAAAAAACTTTCATTCTAGATAAAATGAAGTGATCAAAGACAGTGTAGGCCTAAGTTCACATTTAAAACATATTGCAGTAGTTTAAGAGAGAGGGAAAATAACTTCAAAATTGAAATTGGTATACTTTCAAATTTAGCAGAAACTGAAAAGGTTTTTAAAAAAAAAAAAAAAAATGCACACTTACTTCAGGTCAATACTGAAATATGAAACCTTCAATTCTCATTTTTAACATGTAAATTAAATCAAATTATGTATGAATTTTTTGTCATAGTAAATTCAATCCTTTTTCAGTAAAAGAATTCTCAATACACAAATACTTTGTATATATATGTATAAAATTTAATCATGGTAAATATGTCGTGAATGTCGTTACGCGTTATGACCAGATTTTTTAAATCTGGTCATGACCAGATTTTTACATGCTGGAGGTTGGCAAGTATGGAGTTTTAAGTCATAAAACTTATTGCACTTTGTTTTGATCTTGCACTCAATGTTGATGATTAAAAATTGTATGGATGGAGATAATAAATCCTATTTATAAATAAAAAAAATTCTGATCAATGAGATATTCTATCCCTTAACTTTAAAGAAAAGGTCTCATCTTGTTTTATCTACTGAAGTTTAAATGAATTTAAAAAAAAAACAAACAACAATTTGATTGACACAATTACAAATTTAGCAAAATCATGAATATGCAACATGTTATGCAAATCAACCAAACTCATGAATATGAAACATGATATGCTAATTTCAGCACTCAGTGTCTTTCAGTGGGACTGAAGGTAAGGAAATGGGTGTGTCTTTTATGCTTCTACGTTGCACTATACTCAATCTATCACTGTTAACATTAGACACAAGACTAGAATTCATGACAGAACTAGGGGAGGGGTTAGTTTTCACATAGACTAAATTAGACTCGTTTCTTGGTTTCCAGATAGGTGAATTAGTTTCCTGGGGGAGATTGGAGGAGAATTGTCCGGGGTTCGCGCTGGCCTGTGTGAGTTTGGCTGAGTTACGACTAGAGACACTGAGACTTGATGTAGATGAACTAACGCTCTGTCTGTCAGTAGTCAAGTGGGCAGAGCCATCAACTGTTAAGTGGGCGGAGCCATCAACTGTCAAGTGGGCGGGTCTACTTACTGGCCCCGCCTCTTCTAGACTGTTTTCATCCGTCAGATCCCCCAGAGTCTTACTCCTGGTTCTGAATGTGGGTTCTGATTGCTCGAGATAAACCGTCACTTTTTCCTCGAACTCCAGGGAATGGCGGTCGGGTTCACTGCTTTGGCTAGGTTTACCTCCCCTTTTCTTGCTGAGTGTTCGAATGTTGGAGTTGAGGGACTCTAACCGCTTCCCTCCGTATGGAACATAAGAATTCTGCGTCTGGTTTCCGTTAGGCAGCGCCATCTTCCGCACACTCTCACGTATTGTTTGACGAATCACCTTCATAAAATCAGACTTGGCTTCTGCAGAACTGAAAGAGGACATTTAAATATTAAACAACATTTCTATAGGAAACTTTTTCTAAAGTCTGAGAGAGATACAGGTAGTTTATTACTAATTGTTAGGAAAAAAAAATTCGAATTGGCAAATGACATGTTAAAGGCTTAAGTGCTTTAAAATTCTGTACTTTTAAAATAGTGTAACTAGACAATAGTTGACTATTTCACTACCAATTTTTGTTTCTTTACCATTGTGAAATTTCGTAACTGTGAGTAAGAGTTGCCAGAATTTATACATGTGTCAGTAGCAATCAAAATTTGTACTGTGCTAACAATTTCTTTCCTAGATAAGCATAAATAAATTAACTGAATTTTACAGAGGTTGTTTGCCCTTTACCTGTTACAGAATTTGTACACCTTCTCTGTGGCATCTTTACTTGTTTCAGAATTCGCACACCCTTTCTGTGGCCCCTTTACCTGTTTCAGAATTTGTACACCCTCTCTGTGGCCCCTTTACCTGTTTCAGAATTTTTATACCCTCTCTGTGGCTCCTTTACCTGTTCTGGAATTCTTACAACCTCTCTGTGGCTCCTTTACCTGTTTCAGAATTCATACACCCTCTCTGTGGCCACTTTACCGTTTAAGAATTAGTACATCCTCTCTATGGCCTTTTTACCTGTTACAGAATTCGTACACCCTCTCTTTGGCCCCTTTACATGTTACAGAATTTGTACCCCCTCTATGTGGCCTCTTTACCTGTTACAGAATTCATACACCCTCTCTGTGGCCCCTTTACCTGTTACAGAATTCGTACACCCTCTCGGGGCGCCCCTCCTTGTCAGAGCGACTGTGAATCAGGTCCCACCAGTAATGGCCGTCCATGTCTCCAACCTTCCCAGACTGCACCTGAACTTCCTGTACTGGAATTACAGTTCGGAATCTCTCCTGGCACTCGTATACTTCTGCCACCCCTTTCTTGTCCTGAAAAAAAGTGTTCAAACCGCATCTTAAAATCAATGAAAATACACCCCTCCAGCTAAGAAATCACTCAAATACATTATAAGCCAGGGTTAAAATTTGAGAATAAGTCAAATTCACTGCAGACACTTTTTACACTCTTGAAAGAACAAGATAAACTTCAACTGAATGTTTACACATAGGTTTTTCCATACCTTTGTTTTGACTTTCTTTTTTATTTTCTCTCTGCAGACGAAGACGACACCGGACCTGAACACAAACACAATGTTCTCTAGGTCCAGGCCTTTCTTGATTTTTCCCAAACTGTCACAGAGGTTACACCATTCCACGGTTCCATACATCTGTAACTCCCCCACACTCAAATCTACAGCCTAAAAATAGAAACAGCTAAATATAGAACAGAGGTTACACCACTCCACAGTTCAATACATCTGTAATGGAATAGTCAGACCTGCTTGTATACACCACACTCAAATCCAAGGGTTAAAAATAGAAAATCTAAATATACAAGAGTAGATTACACCATCCACAGAAACCCTTGGCTAGCGAAGATGGTATACACGACATTCATTTTATAATAGTGTTATAACCATCCCAGTTGTACCTTTTTGTGTGGGTATGTGTCCCTGAACACTTTACAGAGCTCATCAAACACTGTCCCGTATTCCTCAAAGATCTTCTGCATCTCGTTAATGTGTTCTGCAACAGCCTCCATTCCTTTGTTGGCCTCTTAAAAAAAAATTACACAATTAATGATAATGTTACTGGAGTGTTTTCAAGTCTTCAGTACAAAACATACAAGGCTATTACAAAGAATGATTTCACAGTATGTAGACATAAGCATCTTAATAGTGATATTCATACTATAAGACACTTGTACCTTTATGTTACATATAATGCATGATAAATTGTTAAAATTATCAGATGGTGACTCTGTTTTCTGTTTGGAATTTGGGTGCATGAGAAGAATTATATCATGTAACTGAAATCTGCTGCCATAATCTTTTATTTTTTAAATTAACTGACGGTGTCCATTACCTGTCTTTTACATGCTTATGACAAGTACATAGCATGTCTATGACCTGTGTATTATAATGTGTCTCTGACCCGTCAATAAAATGTCTATTACCTGTCTAACGTCTAACCTGTCTATGTCCTGACTATTACATGTCTATTACCTGTCTAATTTTTAGTTACCTGTCCATTTTTCTAGTTACCTGTATATTATGTGTTTATGACCTGACTGTCTATTATGTGTCTATGACCTGTATATTATTATGTGTCTATGACTTGTTTATAAAATGTCTATTACCTGTCTACAACCTGTCTATTTTTATAGTTACCTGTCTATTTTGTGTCTACTACATGTCTATCATGTGTCTATGACCTGTCTATTATGTGTATATTATCTGTCTATTTTTCTAGCTACCTGTCTAGTTTGTGTCTAGTACATGTCTATTATGTGTCTATGACCTGTCTATTATATGTCTATTACCTGTCTATTTTATAGTTACCTGTCTATTTTCTAGTTACCAGTCTATTTTTCTAGTTACCTGTCTATTTTATGTCTATTACATGTCTATGACCTGTCTATTATGTGTCAATTACCTGTCTATTTTATATTTACCTGACAGGTGATGATGTTCGTCCGTGTCTGGGTCCGTCAGGTTACACAGCTGTTGAAGCAGTAGCGGGTACTTAAGGATTCTCTGTATAGGTTTGATGAGGTATGACTCCAGGGTGGCCGAGTGCTGCTGTTCTGGATTCCGAGCGTGAAGGAACGCCTTCAGGGCATCGTTTGCCACTGTAACAAAATAATTCAAAAATGTTTACAGTTTGTGTGTGTGGCCTTACGAGCATCGTTAGCCTCTGTTACAAAATTATGTCAAATGCGAAAATTCATTACTTGTGAGTGTGACCTTTATTTAGCATAATATGTAATCATCCATTTAATATGAACACAAAAGAGTGTTTCCTAACTAATTATCAAAGAATGCTTTTCTACTGAGAACTTTCAAGTTTTCCCTGGATTAAGGATTTTCTGAGTCTGGATAAGTATGGATATGTTTTATTGAGAAGTTTTAAGTTTTTACCTGGATTAAGTATTTTCTGAGTCCGGCTATGGCTGGCACAGAATGAACTGTACACCTTGAAGTGGTTGGCGTAATATAAAAATGAACCTCCCAAGGAAAACAGCACTCTCTGTATAATAATAAAAGTTACATGTAATATAATACTGGATATTGTAATAATTCTGTTAATCTAATATAAAAATGAACCTCCCAGGGAAAACAGCACTCTCTGTATAACAATAAAGGTTACATGTAATATAATACTGATTATTGTAATAATACTGGTAATCTAATATAAAATGAACCTCCCAGGTATACCCTCTGTAAAATAACAAACACAGTTCACTTCTCCTAACAAAGATCCACTGTAATGTAACATTGGCTATTATGATAATTCTGTTAATAAAATATATAAATGAACCACCTGGAGAAAACAGTATTCAAACACATAAATTCTCTTTACAAGGATCCTCTGAAATGTAATACTGCCTATTATCATAATTCTGTTTGTTTGATAGAATTCTAGCATTCTCTCCTTAGACTGTCACTTGATTTAGCAAATCCCTGTATCAAAAAAATGCCCTCGAATTAAAACTAAAAAAATGAAAATTTTAAGATGTCTTAATAAGTAACTTCCTTAAATAAAATTTTACAATTCAGATTTCTATCATGAACTTTGATTTAAAGAGGAGAAAAAAGCGAACAGTGTAAAAAAATATGAAATGACAAAGATGAGATAGAAAAATAGAAAGCATTGGATTTTTATAAGATGGATAGTTTGGATACATAACCACAAACAAGATATATAAAGCTGTATTGAAATGCTGTGTAGAGACTCACACTATTCTGATATCTAAAGGGAAAGTGGGGCTGAAAATGACAACATTTAATCTACAGTATATTTCTGTATATAAGGTGAAGGCTACGCTGTACACATTGCATGTACATATATTACATGATGCATCAACATTTTTTAACTACAAAGAAATATAGATGGGGTCCCCCTAATATTAAGGCCAATCTCTAAAAAAAAAAATCTGATTTTCCTATTGCCATTCAAAATTCAATGCAAAATTTTGTTTTTTAAATAAAAAGTCAAGATATAGTTTTTAATTTTCTATGAAATTACCAATTCAGTTCTTTCATATATCTGTACAGTGATCAAAACACAATCAATCAACTTTACAATTTTACCCAGTAATATATATTAATGCTGTCTTCATAATGCTTACTTTTCATGCAACAATAATCTAAAATAAAAATGTCATCCGAACTGAGAAAAATATGTTTATAACTGGTAAACTGATATTTGAAACTAGCTATACATGTAGACATACATGTTAAATATATTTATACAATATCAATAAAGCACAGTAGGCCACACATTGCTGCATTATAGTAGACATACCCTGAGTTCAAGATCCTAAAAAAATGAGGGGAAATTTAAGTAATTCTTAGATACTGACTTATTCTAATCTTTACTTAAAGCAATATTCAGATATGTTCAGAATCTGTATGTTTAAGGGACGCCATCAGACGGCAGGAGTTACAGTTCCTGAATTTAAACTTTTAAATTAGTTATCTTAAAATACTGTAAATCTACACAAGTTCCATTTATGTATCTCACCTTTTGGGTTTTAACTTAAAATGAATTCAAACTTTAAAAATTATTGAAACTTTATTTAAAATGAAAACCAAAACAAAGCCCAGAATGTTTTATTATAGATTAAATCCACTGTTTTATTTTTTTTTTTTTTTACAATTTAAACTGAATCAAACTAAATGAATTAACAAATTTTGGGGACAGATAATACCTAACAGTTTTAAGCAATGCTATTTCTAAAAGTCTCAGAGCATCTTATATTTTGTATTGAATGTATTTATTCTTTTAAAAGAAATAATTCATCAATTACCAAACTATAGTTTTTTAAAGCACTCATTTGTCAAAAATATATTTTTTCAAAGACCATCAATTTTCCTTCTTTTTAAATTAGTTTTTTTTCCAAAAAAAATGATTATGGTAACTAAATATGATTAATTCAGCATTTAAAAACATTTTGTACAGTAATGCATCACCATGATGATTGAATGACCTTGACCTACCCTAAAGACCTTGGGATCCTCGGTCTGGAAGAACTCCCCCTGTAGCTGTATGGCTTCCTCAAGACTGATCAGGAACTGCCGCTGGAATGCCACAATCTCCTGAATGTTCCCGAACAGCTGCTGAATCTCCCCTGAGGTCAAAAAGGTCGCCGACTGCAGCGGGATCAGGTACTGCTCTGTCAGGCAATTCAGGTCCTAAAAGGGAAGCAACTCTTACAGAACTACAGAAATAAAGTCAGGCAATTCAGGTCCTGAAAGGTGAGTAACTCTTACAGAACTACAGAAATAAAGTCAGGCAATTCAGGTCCTGAAAGGGAAGTAACTCTTATAGAACTACAGAAATAAAGTCAGGCAATTCAGGTCCTGAAAGGGAAGTAACTCTTATAGAACTATAAAAATAAAGTCAGGCAATTCAGGTCCTAAAAGGGAAGTAACTCTTATAGAACTACAGAAATAAAGTCAGGCAATTCAGGTCCTGAAAGGGAAGTAACTCTTATAGAATGCCCTCTCTGTCTCTATGACAACTAAAATAAAGTCAGGCAATTCAGGTCCTAAAAGGGAAGTAACTCTTACAGAACCATAGAAATAAAGTCAGGCAATTCAGGTCCTGAAAGGGAAGTACCCACCTTGACATATGCCCTCTCTGTCTCTATGACAACTGTTCTCACCTTGACATATGCCCTCTCTGTCTCTATGACAACTGTACCCACCTTGACATATGCCCTCTCTGTCTCTATGACAACTATACCCACCTTGACATATGCCCTCTCTGTCTCTATGACAACTATACCCACCTTGACATATGCCCTCTCTGTCTCTATGAGTTCCATGATAACTTTACGTAGTTTCTGAGCCTCGGACAGTGATTTGGAGTTTTGATGGACGTGACCATCTAGAACGTTAGGTTCACTCTCCGTCCGACAAATTGATGTCACCTGCTCTGCATTCTAAAAACAGACCAAAAAAATTAAAACATTCATTGGTCAGTTTAATCAACACTACATGCATAACATTCTTGCTTCTGACATGAATAACTCAGTTAACAGCTGTCTCTCGCAAAAAAATCACCCCAAACAATGCTTGTAACATTTATAATTATTTTAAAAGCCAATTATTTTTTCTACAAAGAAAAACAGACCTGGTAATAAATCATTTAGGTTACCTTAAGCAGTTGATCAATCTGAGAACCAGCCAAGTCAGGCAAGGAACCAGGTTTTCTGAGACAATCGACTTCATCTGGAGAACAACTTTCTACAAATAAATCAGAAACTACTGAAGACTCAAGCTGAAAGGAATTTTATAGGTTATGTTCTTTATAATGATGAATGTCACACACACAAGAAGTCTGCATTTGTGTCTGTGAGAGAGAGAGAGAGAGAGAGAAAGAGAGAGAGAAGAGACAGAGAGAGAGAGAGAGAGAGGAGGGAACAGATGTTATGCAAGATTTCTGAATGCTCATTTCCAATGGAGATTTCTATGTGTATTTTGTCAATGTATGTAAGAGAGATATGAACTCTGACCTTGAGGAGATGGCACGGTGAGATTTTCGATGATGTTTTCTGGGATACGTGACTGTGAGGGGGGCGGAGGGCACATCATACTGCTGATTTCTGATTGGCTGCCGGTTACAGCTGCCTGGCTGTGATTGGTCCTCAGGGATCGGACCGTGATGACTAAGGACTTAGACTCATGTAGGAGCGTCTCAATGTACACCATGTCCAGGTCTGAGACAATTTTACTGTTAATGACTAGAATCTCATCTCCTATACTCATCTCTAAATAAAACACACAATACAGATTAACAAAATGATATATATACACACACCCTATAATGATTATTACATATTATACAAACACACACACAATACAGATTAACAGGCATGAGATGATTTTACCACTTATAACAAGAATCTCGTCTCTAAATAAAACACACGACACAGATTGTAAACTTCTTCGAGTCACTTGACTGACACACAGACAGACAATAAACTTACGACTTCTGTGTGCCACACTTCCTGGGGTGACTTGACTGACATACAGTCGAAGTTCGTCGTCTTTATCAAAGTCCTCGGCGAGCTCCGCCTCTACCGTGAAGCCGAACTCTGTGTCCCCCGGGGACTTCATGAGGTGTAGCTGTACCACGGACTTCTGACAGACTTCTATAGACTCGTACTTCTGAAACAGAGTAAATAATTATTAAAGATAAATCTGTACTACAGACTTCTGACAGACCTCTATAGTCTGGTACTTCTGTAAAGACAGCATACTGTGGAATCATCATTGTTCGTGGGGGTCCAATGTTCGTGGCTTTCGTGGTTAACTCTGGCCCACGAATTTACATCCAGACGAACGTATGTACAAACATTTATTTTATTATTTATTAAAAGTTATGATTACAAAGACTATCTAATATCGTTAAATAACCGTTACCTTTGTGTTCATGCAGGGACCTATATACCTGGTCCATGTAATCGTGCACAAAGAAGACACTCTGTATGTTTTTATTTAAGCAAAAAACTATTTTAAAGGTATCAAAGACATAACTATAGAATAAGTAATAAAGTGATAAATAATTGAGTAAACTGTTAAGTAGTGTTTATATTACGGTCCAACACTATCTCAAGACCCCATTAATCAGGTCATTTTTCAGTACGATTTAGGAGTGGGTGCTAATTAGCCAATTAGCATGAATTGGTTTCAGGGTAGATGTTTTTAACTTGAAGTCAATTTTGACATTGTCGTCGTTCTCATTTAAAGATTTTTCCCACTTTAAGCCACTGCGTGATGGACATTTTGAAATAAGATGAGTGAGGTTAATTTCAACAGAAAATATATTTACCGCTGAGAAGAATTAAACTATTGTAATTGTACGTTTTATATTCACAGGAGAGATAACTCCCTATCATTTTAAATGAGCAACATTTACGAATTAAAAAAGAAAACGAAATAGAACTTTTTATCAACGAAATTACGTCCCCACGAACCAGGAAATTTTTGGTGACCCATGAACATTGACCCCCACGAATAAAAATGATACCACAGTATTACCCATAATCCTCGGTAGATAAAACATCTCTGAACAAGATTCATTCTTTTCATAATTTTTTTTTCTACCTTTGTATAAAGATCAACTACTTTAACACTCAATAAAAGGGAAATTCTCTCATTCATTGCTTTTTTACCACTTTTTAAAAAAAAAGGATCTTATAAATTTGTTGCTGAATTTTTTAATACAGGCAGATATAATGGTCCATTCCTTACGACAAAATTGGAGGAATTTGTCCATGACTATAAATTGGAGGATTTTTATCATAAGGAATGGACCATCATATCTGCCCGTATTAAAGAATTCAGCAAACAATTTTATAAGAACCTGTTAAATGAATTCAAATTTTCAATGAGCTTACAATAACTCACCATATTTTTAATGTTATCTTTGGGATCCAGCACTATGTAGGTATTGGGGGGCGTGTCAGATTGTGTAATCCGTACGTAGTGATCTTGGGGGTCTAATTGCCGTTGGTTACAGACCGATTCCAGAAGATCCTGGGCCGTGCTCTGTTTGTTCACCTTAATCAGCAGAGTCTGGAGAAAAAAAACCATCTGACTGAGTGGACATTTCATAATTCAATAAAAAATCCACAAAATTTGCAAAGATTATTAAAGACATCATTGATTTTGTAAAGATACAGAGGGGATTGCTTCCACAGAAAAAGCACAGCTCCCTAATTCAGAAACTGTGATCTTAAATCCAAATAGTCAGAGATCAGAGACTACAAATAACCCTCCCCCCTCCCCCTCCCCAACAAAAAACCACACCCTCGTACAGAAATTCAGATTATCCTCTTCTTCATTTAATTTAAAAGAATTATACACACCATTCAAACAGAAGTAGAAAAAAACAGGAAGTACTTAAAGAATGCGGAAATATCGGGAACTTGGAGATGAAAGAAAACAGGACTGTGTATGAATCATTGTAACAAGTCTACATACATTGTCAGTATCACTAAAAAACAATGATCATACTTGTGTACAGTTTAAACACATTGTGAAATTTTCCAAGGAAAATCATTTTTACAAGGTTTTGTGTTAGAGTGAAAGTCCTGTTTCAGAAAAACTTGTCTAAAAAATGAGAAAAATACTTCAGAATCCGTTTGATGCCATACACAGTACAGAATGATTTGTGTCGACATGTCATTTTCGCACAACTAAAGGACCTGGTCAATACAGATATATCAAACAGGTTAGCTTAACATGGGTTACTAAATGTCACAATTTATAAAAAGATTTACATGATCATATTAATTTGTCGTTCAATAATTTTTTATAAGATTAGTTTGTATTTAACTAAGGCAGATTAATATCACACAAAATTGATAATTTAATGATTTTTAAATCAAACAGGGGCCATGAATTTTACATAATTAACAACTATCCTCAAAATAAAATGCACCTACTTTGATAAAATATATAACTCCTTTCCAAATAAAACACAATCCCAATATAAGCCACAAATGCACAATAAAACAGATATTCTTACGAAACCATCAGAATGCACCTATAGTCCAATCTGTCAATACACAGGTAACAGTGTGGTCATTATAGCCAGCTCTTAATATTTACACCTGTCATAGGTCCTGTACCTAATTACGACCACAATCATGACCTCTAGTGGACAACACCGGACGTACGGCTCAATGTCCACTCACCGGTGTATAACCTAACCCACAGAGCGTGAAATCACCCCTCAGGCCTAACCTAATTACAAAGTAATTACATGGTCCACGATGGTAATGTTTGAATGAAATTTCTGTAATTTTTGATGTGTTAAATCAAGCTTACTAATTATCTCGCAAAATCCCACAGAAAATTCAGCACGTCCTTAGCTTAAAGACATGTACACATTGTAAAACTGTAAATCACAGAGAAATAAAGTCTTAATGGAACCCATACAAACAAAACTCTCAGATAAAAAGCCCCAATAATAACAGATATTGTTAAATACTAGTCCTTTGTAATGTACAGATAGAATTATCTTCTATAGCTCAATCTTATTTATCAAAGTCTTGTTAAATCTGAGTCAAAGAATAATTTACACACACAAAGTTCTATTATTTTTTAGATATAGGTTTCAGCATCAAAACCTAATCCCCCCCCCCTCAATCACAACCACCATCAAAATCTATCATCACTTTCCCATCACATCCCTCCCCAACCCCAAACCTGTCACCCCCCCCCAATCCAAACACCCCCAATCTTACCCAACTCCTACCCCCACATTATATGTACATTTAAGAAATCACTATAGAAGTTGACATAGAAGAGTTATTTCCCCTCTGTCCTTGAACATCTTTACCATTGCAGCCATACACAATATATCCAATGTTTCTCAGTTCAATAATCCAACTCAGATCTCTCAAAACCCTGACATTTGTGTCTATGAACATCAAGAACTAAATACACTCATGTACAAACACAACTACAATGTAATTTATTATGCAACACAAGAGGAAAAAATATGCAAACTTTCTGTTACATTAAATGCCTGATCATATACAGGATTTCTATTTACACATTAAGTATTACTAGGTCACCTAATGATCGGAGATCAATGGATCGCTCCTCTAAGAATGGGTACTCGAGACCTCCGAGCAGTGAAAGCACTGGTTCCACACAGGCACAAATGAATCTCCAACTGAAGTCTTAACAGTAGAGATCTATTGAGTTCCAGCAATTATACACTTATACTCCTCTCTTTATAATAATTCAGTCAGATTTCTACAGGTTTATTAAATCTGTGGCTTTGATCGGATCCTTTAGACATTTTGTAACTTAAAACCAATTTTAATATGTTGCTTTGAATTCATTTAAATTAAAATTTATTTTTGGAAAATATGAAGTAGATCCAATGCAAGTTTCTATTGTACAAACTCTTATTTGATGTTAAATCCCTAGCCATATGACCTTAACCTTAAACTAAAAACACATTACCCCCCCTTCCCTCTTTTCAAATTGTCATAAATAAATTAAGTTTTTAAAAGGTTGGGAGCTTAAAAATTGTGGCATTCTACCTCAGAAATTCTTACTGGAATAGCCCTTAGGATACACATTTTTTTTTTGGGGGGAGGGAAAGAGGGTACATTGTCTGTGACTTAAAGAATGTGTATCCATTCCCTGGTCAATCTTGTCACTTTCTTTTCTCCCTTCCTATCATTAATTAATATTTCTTTCCCGTCTGTTGGTGCAGTCAAGTAATTACCTACGTCCTTTTTGTCTAGTTATCTTCTTCTGTATGTATCCCCAATTCTTACTATACCTGGTTATTTGGGAGGGTGACTGTCTCCGCCATTGAACCCCCCATCTGACACGGTTGAGAGATTTTCAGGACTGTTTGGGTACTTTACCTGATTATTCGGCAGCGCGACTGTCTCCGCTAGCGATCCCCCATCTGACACGGTTGACAGATTTTCGGGACTGTCCATGTAAAGATCAGCCACCACTTCATCTATATCTGTGGCCTTATACACCATACTGAAAATTTAAATGGTTCTAAAAATGTACAGTACTTAAACATGAAAAAAATGTAACATACTGAAAAAAACCACACATTCAAAACAAATATACTGTGTGTCAGGGCTATGGTTGTGTAATATACAACACTTACTGTGTGTCAGGGCTATGGTTGTGTATCGTACGCCGGTGATACCTGAACGTCCCATCACCCTTCGGTGACAACATTCCCCCCTGGTGTTTCCCCCGTCCGTAAATGTTGGGGACAGTCAGGGGTTTCCTGGCCGCGACCAGAGCATGAAAGGATGTCACGGTAAAAACACCCAGACGACCCAGACTGGACTTGGTTGTCTTGGAGGCACTGCCCAGCAGAACCTAAAAATAGAATAAGGTTATATTGTCTCAAGGTCATTATAAGGTCACAACAAAAACAGGAAGGAGATGATGGAACTGTAGCTCTAGTGATTTGTACTTATAATATGATAGGAGAAATGTTGTAAATAGACCTTAATATTTTGCTTTTAGTCTAACATTATCTAGTTTTACCCCCCCCCCTCCCCGAATCACTAGACAGGTGCTCTACAAAATATCTGTCCATCCTCAAAAAATATTATAATTTATTATGATTGCATAGAACCTAGATCATCACCTTTTAGAATTGATTATCTTATCCTTAGTTGTCAATTAGTACAGTGTATTTGATATTCCCAGAAAGCATTCAGTAATTATAAATGTAGTAGTGAAGTTCTCTGTAGCAGTACTAGTAACATTCCAATGGAAAAGGTGTCTTGAAATAAGTACAAAAGTCACAAACAAGGTTTTTATTTCATGGTTTTAATTTGTTAAACAAGGATTTCAGTTACTTTATTTCCTGAGTGAGGAAATGATTTAGTTTTGTATACTTTCTCTGTAGCTAGTACTGTTAAGATTCCAACGGACAAGGTGTCTTAATAATCAAGTACAAAGGTCACAAACAAGGTTTTTATTTAATCCTATGGTTTTAATTGTGATACAAGGATTTCAATTACTTTACCATATTTCCTGAGTGAGGAAATGATTTACTTTGTATAGGATAATTTACTTCCTCAATTCTCAAATGTAACTGTTATAAAAGTTATCCCCCTTATATTGCTATTCTTCATATGTAAAAATATTCCATAAATCTTAATAATCAAATCTTGCCTATAAAAGTCTGTTATGTTCTTTAATATTTCATTAACTTTGAATTATTGTGACCATCTATAGATTTTTATTCATAGAAAATATGTTAAAGCTTTAAGCTTTGCTCAAATTTTATGATAACAATTTTCCTATTTATAAATGACCCTACCTTGGGGCAGGGGAGTTCTGTCCCTAGAGCTATTTATAGATGACCCTACCTTGGGGTTGGGAAGTTCCGTTCCCTGGAGCGAGGCTATGTAACAGCGGAAGCGATACTGTTCTATAAATAGCTTTTCCAGATTTTCCTCCCATTGGCCGATCTGTCTGATAATGGCCTGTCGACTTCTGGGATCCGTGACGACCGTCAACTGAAGTTCTGCCATTTTCCTCATCTTTAGGTCCTACAAGAAAAATTTAGAGACATTGATATTTACAAATAGGTGTTACTTAGGATGTTGATGTTTGTAAATCAGTGAAATTTACGATGTTGATATTTACAAATCAAAATAACTTACGACGTCAATGTTGGTTTCCAGTTTGTGAAGTTCCCTCTTCATCAGTCGTAATGTGTTATCCTTTCCATGTTGCCGAGCAAATGACGAAGCGCAGGCCGAGTGAACAGCACAGATCCAGCTCTCCTGTTCCATTGGGGACGTCGCCTGATGTGAAAAATTAATAAGAATTTAAATATAGGATGCCAAAAATTGGGGACGTTGCATTGATTTGTTAAAAAATTGATAAGGATTTCAAAAATACATATAAAATTTCATGGAAGCGAAAAGTGTTTCTTCTGAGTTCATAATCTTGTAAAAAAAGATATAACAAGTACATTTTGTAGCTAAAGTAAAAGATTATATTTTAATACTTTAAACAATCCTGAATCAATGTTGGATTATATAAATATTTCTTCTTTAAAATATCTATTTTTATGGGATCCACTTTGAAATTCCATGGTTATGGGAGAAAAAATTTAAGGGGGGAGGGTAAAAAATATCAGCTTTTAGTGTCTTTCCATCATCTTTAAAATTTTTTAAACTTACCTCAAACAAATAGGCATCTCCAAACGCAGTGCTGACTGAGAAGATGTTGTCCCGTTTTGGATGTTCGGGTACTGCTTGTGCTATGGCGCCCTCTATCACTGAAAACAAAAGTTTTATAAAATTACTGTTTGAAATTCTACTTTTAAAATAACTTACTCAGTGTGTGACATGGTAAGCTGTCCTTGGTTATGTGTTGTGGTATACTTTATATACTCAGTATGTCACGCTATGCTGCTATACATACCGAATATGTGCCGTGGTATGCTGTCTCTATTATTTTATGTTTTACTTACCCAGTATATGCCTCGGTATGCTAGCTGCTATGTGGTATGCTGCTTTACTTACCCAGTATATGTCGCGGTATGCTGTCTTCTGTTTTTTTTTGTGCTATGCTGCTTTACTTACCCAGTATATGTCGCGGTATGCTGTCTTCTGTTTTTTTTTGTGCTATGCTGCTTTACTTACCCAGTATATGTCGCGGTATGCTGTCTTCTGTTTTTTTTTTGTGCTATGCTGCTATACATACCCAGTATATGCCGCGGTATGCTGTCTTCTGTTATTTTTTGTGCTATGCTGCTATACATAACCAGTATATACCGTGGTATGCTGTCTTCTGTTATTTCTTGTGCTATGCTGCTATACATACCCAGTATATGCCGCGGTATGCTGTCTTCTGTTATTTTTTGTGCTATGCTGCTATACATACCCAGTATATGCCGTGGTATGCTGTCTTCTGTTATTTTTTGTGCTATGCTGCTATACATAGCCAGTATAAGCCGCGGTATGCTGTCTTCTGTTATTTTTTGTGCTATGCTGCTATACATAACCAGTATGTGCCGTGGTATGCTGTCTGTATTATTCTATACTTTACTTACCCAGTATGTGTTGCGGTATGCTGTCTGTATTATTCTATGCTTTACTTACCCATTATATGCCGCGGTATGCTGCTATGCTATGCTGCTATACTTACCCAGTACGTGTCGCGGTATGCTGTCTTCTGTTATGGCTGTCTCCTCACTACAGTCGTAGAACAGCAGTACTGTACCCTTTAGACAGACCCAATACCTCTTCCACTTCCTCTTACTTACCCTGTATATGCCGCGGTATGCTGTCTTCTGTTATTTTTTGTGCTATGCTGCTATACATACCCAGTATATGCCGTGGTATGCTGTCTTCTGTTATGGCCGTCTCCTCACTACAGTCATAGAACAGCAGTACTGTCCCCTTCAGACACACCCAGTACCTCTTCCACTTCCTCCGCGGGGCCAGCTCTAACTTCCTTTTCCTGTGAATCAACCAATTCTTCACCACCAGCCACCTACAGACATACACACACATAAGAGAGTAATTCAAACTGAAAAAACAAAAAGATATCAATTATTCACCCTCTAAAACTAACTTTTTATATATACTTCAAATTCAGTGACTTTAACCGATGAGATGTGACCTTGTGTCAAGGTGTCAGTACACTTATGACAACGTACTGAGGTTTCAATGTGCTCCTCTGTTGCTTATCTGACATCCTCCCCCAAATTATACCCTGCCTTTTGCAGCGTTCTGATATCCCCATTTGATCATCCTTATCCCCCAATCACTGACTTTTACCTATCTGATTCCACAGGGCTTCCCCCTACCTAATCTTACCCACACAATCTGAACCTATCATTCTGATGGCCCGTAAAAATCATACACACACAATATTTTGATGCCCCTCATACACACACCAAATTTCTCTGATCTTACCCCGCCTTTCTGATGGCCCCGCTCTGTCGGTGAAAAAGCATATAAGTACTCATTGTTTACATCTCTAAATACTGTCATCGTCCAAAAAAAAATCAAATCATGTTAATCATCACTCTCCGTATGGGCCTGTGTTTCAATTTTATATACAACTAAATTAGAAAACACACACAAACATTAAGACTAAACATGAAAATGTACCTAGAAAAATCATACACACAATACTGCTGGTGCATTTATTGGCAGCATTAATCTGCTAGATGTCCAGTTTTACATCTTCAAAATAATTGGAATTTGGAAGAAGCTTAAAAATCAGCCATACTTCAATGTTCATAACACCTTACGAAATAAAACAATGAGATAAGGGTCAAGGTCACACTTGTGAAGGTAACACTGACCTCTGTGGGGTTACACTGTCTGATCTCCGAGGTGTCACTCAGCTGATTGATCAGGTCGCTATGACGACCGCTGCTGCTGCTGCCACGACTACTGGCTCCAGAGGAACCTGCTCCTGTGGTTGAAGGGTTAACCTCTAACCCTGAAAAATCAACCAATCAGATCTTAGTTTACTAACATGCATCATAATGTGCTTCCAGTCAACCAATCAATAACTACTTGACACTAATGTATTCATTCTTCAATTTATTTTCTTAAATTGCCAGCTGCTTTCAGTGTTATTTTACATATTTCAGTAAAACTAAAGAGAAGAAATAAAGGTAAACACACACTGTACCTGTATTAAGCGCCATCACCATGATCACTGGGTATTCACAAACATGACAAAAGACTTATTTATTGTTGTAATCATGAATTAGCGCTGCATACTTCCGAGCCATATTATTGTATTTATAAATAGTGATTTATATAATAGCAGTATTTGTAAATTAGCCCAATGTAATTGTCTATGCCAATGGCACTAAGATATGAAGCTGGCTCTTTTAAGTACAGTATGTACACTTTTGATGACAGAATGACAGACTAAATGTAAGAATGCCACATGAATTCTGAGGTCTATATACAATGACAGAGAACGTGTAACATGTGTAATATGATCGTTCTCCCATCAGTTTTTGAAATGGCCTGTGTTTACTTTATAAAAACTTATGTATAAGTACTCTTAAGAAGAACACAAGAAATAACTTATCATTATATAACATACTGAGACACCAGAGAGGAATTAATATCTGACCTGAGAGAGAATCATCAGACGATAAAGTATCCTTTTATATCAGACAGTGAAACTCAACACCGCACCAGGAAACAATCCACAGAAACTTCTAACCTTACAGAGGGGGAAAGTCAGAAAATGAGACTGACATGTTGACAGTTTTAGCGGGATCAAGTGTGGTTCTAAGTAGTACCAAGAGCATCAGCTCCATCGGAGATCAGGAAATCCCCGACAGGAACAATTACTGTCCCTCTTCTGACAAACGGGAATCACCGCGGCCAGAATTATACCAGGAAAATCCTCTCCGACAGACAAACTTAGCTTAAAATGCCAGAAAAAAGTTCTTTCTCTCTGATCAAGCTGATAATCTCAAATCTCCATGATCATGCAGTGATCACAAGCCAAAATTATACAGTGAAAACATATTTGAAACAAACAGGTTACAAAGAGCAATGCTCTTCTGACAACAGAATACAATTTCGCCAAAAATCATAGAAAAAAACAAACCTCAGGGTAGAAAAGTAATTTCTCTCCAGAAAACATGATGGATGACAGAGGCCAAAATTACAATGAGGACAATTCCTCTGCCCTGTGTCATAATCATGTCAAGGTTACACAGAAATCATCTATTTTAATTCTAACAAAACAACTTAAAGAGGTTACTATAGTAACATGAATGTTTAATGCTGTCGCCATAGCAACAGAAACAACTGTTACTGTGGTTAAGTTCAATAGTGTTCAAAATAACTTGTGGTTAAGAATCTATATATGTGTACATGGTGTATAAGAATTTCCACTGTGTTCTATTCTGATTTCCATCAACTCTGTCCGGATTTGGGGATGGGGTGACCCTCAAACCCTGACCAAAAATAATGGACATTAAAAGCCAGAAGGTGATTCTACTAGCAGAGAAGAGAGGGGGCCCTTTTTTACAAACTTGTACACAGAAAAACGTAAGTAAAACAAGGACATGAAGGGTTAGAACCTGCAGCCTCTAACAATGTGCAGTGTAATCTTGGTACAGATAAGATAAGATAAGATTTAAGATAAGATTTATTAATACCAATTTTGGGCCCATCAGGGCATACAAGTAATAAGAAAAAAAAAACATACAAGCAGAAATTCAAAATTGATAGCAGAATTAAACTAACAAAAGATAAATGATGTTACATTAAATCCAGTACTTCCTTGAGGTTCATATTTGCAATAGGTTCATATGTAATATTTCACTGATCCCTTTTTGGGAAACCCCTACATTAGGATTATTCTAAAACCTACATTGATACTTCATTCATTTTTAGCATGTTTAGGTCCCAGGTTAAACCTTTAAATCTGTTATTACATTAAGAACTGAATTGTACAACAAAATATTTTCTTCATAAAATCTAGATATATATTAACATGATTAATTAGAAAGTAATAAGCAAATACTTGATTCAGATATAATCATGATAATCTATTAAATTTCAATTCCAATAAATGGATTTCGAAAAATTGTGAATGAAATAGGGTGAGAGAGAAGGGGGGACATTATCTTGGTTTAAATAACTTTTTAATCAGGTGAATTCCAAAGAGATCATCTTGAATTGATGGGGTAGGGTTTGGAGGGGGGAGGGGGGTGGAGGGAGGGGAAGGGCAGTGTCCATCAGATAAAGCTACTGGCGATATAAATATACCTTCTCTATGATCATTATCACTAACAAAAATATGGGACAGGGTAAGCAAAAAGATCAGCATTGAATGGTATTTTGACCTGTTCAAGGTTGAAGGGTAGGAATCAGTCACAGTTTGATCCTAATGGTACTCTCACAGTGACCTTAATGATGGCAGTGCATGGTGTTGGGGGAGGTAGAGAGGGGGGACAACTTGAACAGTATAACCATGGTGATTATATAAGCATGGTGAGTATAGTACAGGGTAGGAGTCAGCCACTGTCTAACCCCTGGGTAGGACGGCCTTAATGATGTGGGGGGGGGGGGGGGTTGTGTCTAGGGAGGGAGGGAGTCAGTGTCTAACCCCTGGTGTCTGGGAAGAAGGGAGAGAGAAGGGGTCCCCCTAACTGTACCAGTAACCAAAGTGAGTATAGGACAATAGGAGTCAGTGTCTAACACCTAGTACTCTCACGATGACCCTGGGAGGGAAGGGGACCCCCCCCCCCCCAACTGTACCAGTAAGCACGATGAGTATACTTACCCTTGTCTGAGGTCTCCGCTTCATCCTCCACTCTTATCTGTTGTATATCACAGATCAACTTTCTCAAAAAATCAGCATCCATTGCAATAAAAATAGGACCAACTTCTCACTCTGTCATTTTACTGTGACCCCCCTCTAACAATAACATTAAATCCCTTCTCACTATATCATACTATGTGACATTCACTTTTGAGAGTCAATATAAGCTTCTTTGGTTTATCAGGCTTCTGTACACAGAATTCTACGACTCATCATAAAATCCAGTCTCTATAAATCCCATGCAATGTCTACCAGCAGTCACCCTGTAGTATGATTTTGTCACTGTGTGTAATTGCAAGCTTGCACTCTCTCAGAGTTAAAAATCCACCAGAGTATTATTAACGAGAAGTGATCAATCTCGACTTAAAAAGATTTATTGACAAGTAAATGCACCCCGGCATTCCCCGATCACTAATGTCCTTGCCACATCTGGTTTTAGTCAACATTATAAAATTCTCGTTTTATATTTCAGCTGTGTTATGAATGACTCTTGCACACAATGCCTTTATTCCTTATACATGTATAAATTACCAATGCTCTGATCTTGTCAGGGCTGGCTGCCTTCTGAAGTAAATAATCTCTTTAATCACAATAACATAGACACCCCTCCTCACTGAAATTAATCCCAGTTATATAGAGGCAGTAGTGGGAGATTCGTGTGTGTGACTGTACAGTGCGATCTCTTTGGTCTGTTTGAGACCTGCTGCTGGTCGCATCAATCAGATGTACTTATCCTGGCCGCCTGTATCTCCACTGCTAATGTCAATCAGCCCCCCACATTACAATAGGTCAGTCACCCCAAACCAGGAACCACTGGAAATAAAGATGTCACATTACACTCTGACTGGGATGTACCTAACACTTCTCTCCTTCTCAGATTCCCTTCAAGTCAGGGAGAGAAAAGAAAGTAGTTATAGCCAACACACAAAAAACGAATTCCTTGCTGACGACTCACTCTAATTGTCTGAAGCCATCTTCATTCCTCTCTGCACACACTGGTCAGTAGACATTAATCACTCGGGTCCCTTGTTGAGAGTTAATTCCAATCCTACACTATATATTGACAGCTAGTACGCCCTCTGTCAGTCCTCTGTCACTGCTGCTGAAGCCTAACAGAAATTTCTATCCAGGAGTTAATTTCCTCGGCCCTGGGATCTTAATTAGCGTCTCCCTGGTGAAGCTCTTAATGTGACCTTTTGACCCTTGGTCACCTGTCACTCAGTCCGTTGGAATCTTTAAGTTGATGACTTCATCTCTCAGTCACTTCAGCCCTCAGAGAAACAACATAACTTTCCCCTCACACCCACTGTCAGTGTAACCAGGCTATTAATATCACAACTCTTGTCTTTGTCGTTTGTTCCAAACAAATCAAAACACCTTATCCCCCGTGAATCAACAGCTCCCCTCTCTGTAATATTCATAAATTATCAGATCTATCCCTCAGCACAGCTCTGCTACAAAGTCACTGATTTATCATCAACACAGGGTTCTTAAGAACCCAGAGGAAATCAGATCTGCTTAATTATACACTAAAATCCCAAATTAAAATAACATTTATAATTAGTGCACATCTTCCTCCCCCTCCCCCTGTTTCTATTCTGAGTTCCTGGGATCTTTAATATTGCCCAGCTCTGTGGATTCAGTCCACACTCACAGGGCTGACCTTTATCAGAAGTTTGAGATCTCCAAGGTCACAGAGGTTTTAATGTGGCATCAAACCTCAGGAAGTTCAAGCATATGAAAATCAAGATAAGACTAAAATTATAGCTTCAGGAGAGAGAAAAAAAACTGGATCCCCCACCGAGAGGAAACATACGGCTCTGAAGGAGATAAAATCATAAGTTAAATCTGTACAGTTTTTGATATAAAAATCTTAGATCCCCCACTGAAGTAGATAAAAATTATAAGTAAGTCTGTAAAGATATTAATATAAAAATCTTAGATCCCCCACTGAGTGGAATCACAGATCACAAGAAGGCTGATAAATTTTATATAAAACTAGAATTTAAAAAAAATTCTGAATAGACAATTATAACTTTATCCTGTCAAAATCAGGCTAAAAACTTGGATCCCCCTGTGAGAAACTAAAATCCTCCAAAAAAAAATTTATCAGATGTCAGCCGATTTCCTCCACACAT